TCATTTCTTCAGTTAAACCACATCAACTGATATAGACAGGAAGAGGTCAGCATCACCTCAAACATGCGGAACAACGTATTCGCCTGAGATAGATCGAGGCTTAAAACTTCTGGCAGAACTTGACATGCACTGTTAGAACAGTCTACTTACCAAATATAATTTTGTTTAATTAAAATAGATATTTGGTTTCAGTTTATAGATTTTTGTGACTCGTGAGACGTTGTTGTTTTGGAGTAGGCTAGTCATGGGGGGATTGATGACGAGTGATGGCTGCAGACCATGTGTTATTTTATGTGCTGTACTGTTGTCAACCGTCATGGGATACAGACCGGTAATTATTGTTCACGGGATATTTGATGGGCCCAAACAGTTCGAGATGATGGTGAAATTTATCCGTCAGGTAGGCTAATATTGCTATCTATCTATCTATCTATCTATCTATCTATCTATCTATCTATCTATCTATCTATCTATCTATCTATCTATCTATCTATCTATCTATCTATCTATCTATCTATCTATCTATCTATCTATCTATCTATCTATCTATCTATCTATCTATCTATCTATCTATCTATCTATCTATTGAAATCAGTAATCAGAAACTATACACAATAAAACTGCATTTTTTGCTCAACATTTTTGTTATGGAATCTGTTATATAGGCTACAGTATTTTGGGAAATGTGTTTGTGTGTGAATTTAAGAAACATAAATGCTCTTCTATTTGTTTTATTACATTTCTAATTTCCAAACAAATTCCTCTATAAAACTACATACATTAAAACAACATAAAACTTGCATTACATTTTTGAATGGGTACATTTTGGGTCAAAAACACACAAAAAATCACCTGTCTTATAAAAATCGCAATCTTAGGTTCGACTTGCATATTCGTTTTTAAGTTTTTTGGTTTCAGATCACCACACTTGGGGCATAGTTCTCATTTTTTATATCTAGTGAAACTCACTTCTCTTTTCACTGTCTTAGTCTCATCCAGGTACCAATGTGACCACAATAGCCCTGTTTGACTACATTGCCAGTATGAAGGCACTGTGGCAACAGGTAGACAGCTTCAGAGAGGCCATCAGACCCATCACGAAGAGCGCTGAAGATGGTGTCCATCTCATCTGCTTCTCACAAGGTCATCTAAACTCATTCATCTAATCAAAATCTGTTGTTATATAAGCACTACCATTCAAACTATATTTTTAAGGCTCTTAATCAAACCAAGGCTGCATTTATTGGATTAAAATTATGGTACACACAGTAAATTTGTGAAATACAATTACAATTTAAATGAACTATGTTATATTTGAATATATTTGAAAGTGTATTTTTTTTACAATATAAATTCTTTATTGTGACTTTTGAACAATTTAATGTAACAAAAAAAAAAATTTCTCAGGTGGTTTGATATGTCGAGGAGTTCTTGCTACCCTTCCTACACACAATGTTCACTCTCTGATACTCCTGTCTTCACCATTAGCTGGCCAGTATGGAGGTCAGTCAAATCCTCCCTAAACTACACGCCGCAACATCTGTTTTCTCTAAAGAAACATAAAAACACATTAATACAGTGCTTTGTCCATGCTTCTACAGATTCAAGTTATTTGAAATACTTTTTCCCTAAATTCATCAAGTCAAAACTGTACAATTTTTGTTACACTACACATGGACAAAAAATATCTATCTGCAACTACTGGAATGGTAAGCAGATGTGTCACTTTCACACAACAATATTTTCACTGTCCTGCATTTCATTTGATTTACTGTGGATCTTCTATTCTTTGCCTTTTTCTCTCTGTAGATCCACACCAAAGAGAGAAATACTTAAACAGCAGCATATATCTGGCTCCACTCAATGGAGAGATAAATCATGACAATTTAACAGGTAGTTTAAGATTACAATGTGAGCAACTCAGCTTGTTGTTTGTGCACTTTCAGTTCAGTGGCCTTGAGTCATGTTGTGTTGTGTGTTTCTGTTCCCTCTCAGCGTGGCGAGACAGCTTCCTGCGCATAGAGAAACTGGTGCTGATCGGCGGACCAGATGATGGCGTCATTACACCATGGGAGTCAAGGTCTCTACATCAGTGTTACTGTGAATGAGCTTTTATTTTCATGTTAATATATTAGTCTATTTTTAGTTATTTAATGGTGTGCTTTTGTTACTTTATTATTATTATTATTATTAATATTGCTATAGGTTTAACGGGATAGTTCACCCAAAAATTCTGCCATCATTTTCTCACCAACCTGTCCCAAACCTGTATAAAATTCTTTCTTCTGTTGAACACAAAAGAAGATCTTTTGAAGAATGTCGGTAACCAAACAGTTTAAAGGAGTAGTTCACTTTTTTAAAAACTTTTGCTGATAATTTACTCACCCCCATGTCATCCAAGATGTCCATGTCTTTCTTTCTTCAGTCGAAAAGAAATTAAGGTTTTTGATGAAAACATTCTTTCTCCATATAATGGACTTCAATGGGAACCAAACGGTTCAAGGTCCAAATGACAGTTTCAGTGCAGCTTCAAAATGAACAAATCTTTTTTCCGAGTCTTTGATTTCGTTCATATTGTTCTTTGAATAAACCAAATGACTCGAAAAAGATTTGTTCATTTTGATGAACGAGTTCGAACAGGAGAGTCACGAACACGCATCACAGAACAGAGCAAGGCGAGCATTTGTGCTTATAAGGATAAATGTATGTATGTATGTATGTTTCGCTAGAGAAGGCCCTTATTCAACATCTGGTCCCGTTAAAAGCCCTTTGAAGCTACACTAAAAATGGAGAAAAATCCTGTAATGTTTTCATCAAAAACCTTAATTTCTTTTCGACTGAAGAAAGAATGACATGGACATCTTGGATGACATGGGGGTGAGTAAATTATCAGCAAAAGTTTTTTTTTAAAGTGAACTACTCCTTTAAACTGACTTGCATAGTATGAAAAATATATATTGGAAGTCAATGGGGGACCATCAATCTTTTGGACACCAACATTCTACAAAATATCTTCCTTTGTGTTCAGCAGAAGAAAGAAACTACATAAGGGAGACTAAATGATGACAGAATTTTCATTTTTGGGCGAACTATCCCTTTAATTTATTACAGTTTAAGTAAATCTTACTTTTCATTTAGTTCAAAGCCAACATTTCTAGTTTTTCAACTAATATTTATATTTTATTTCAGCTTTATTTATCAATGAACAGGAACGTTTTAAATAGTTTTAGTTAATAGTATATATTATCACATGATATTGAGCATCTAACGTTTATCAGAGTTCGACCGCCTTACTTCTAAAGGGTTAACATGTGCCAGTTCAGCCGACTGGAACGAATGTGAGAAATATTTAAAGTGGCGTTTGAACTTTAAAATGTCTAATAGGATTATGTGGTGCCTTTTGTTTGCCATCTCTAAAATGTAGGTCCTGAATAAAACATACTGTCTTCATATCTTTTTACCTTTGATCTCTTTTTCCCCCACAGTATTTTTGGGTTTTATGACAGTAATGAAACGGTGGTTGAGATGGAAAAGCAGGATGTGAGTGGAAGCATTCATATTCTGATCATTAATTAGTTTAAATTGTTCATGGTTTGTATTTGCTAGTGCATTTTAATAATCCTAACCATTTCCACTCTCCCCAGTGGTATCTAAGAGATGCTTTTGGCCTGAAAACATTAAACTCAAAAGGAGCCGTGATCAAGTGCGTCGTCCCTGGTGTTCGCCATACATCCTGGCATTCAAATCTCACAGTCTACCAGAACTGCATAGACAAGTGGCTCACCTAATCTACAGAGAAAGAAACAAACTGATGGCCTCACAATCCTGAATGTAATCATGTCTTTTGCAGATTATGATTGTACTGTTGTTAATCAACTGAGATATTTTCTTTGCTTATAACAGAATGTGATAATTTATTATCTGTAGACAATGGGATGATTTTCTGCAGTAGTTTTTTAGTTTTCTTTTATGTAAAATCAGTTTGAATATTGTGAGCAGATTCTTTTGTTTTCTAATTCTATTTATAGAGATTCTACATGACTAATATTTTTTTAATAAAAACAAATTATTAAATTGTTATCAAAAAAAGTATAATGATTGCAAGAAAATGTGTGTGTGTTAATATATTTGTACCAGTCAAAAGTTTGGAAACATTACTGGAAAATAATACAGAAAAAGACAAAGAATTTTTGAAATATTATTACAATTTAAAATAATACTTCTATTGCTTTAAAATATAATTTATTTGTGATTATTCATGTGATGCAAAATTGAAATTTCAGCATCTGTTACTCCAGTCTTCAGTGTCACATGATCCTTCTGAAATCATTTTAATATGCTGATTTGAAACAGTTGTGATGATAAATATTTTTTATAACTTATGATAACTTTTTTCAGGATTCATTAATGCATAAAAAGTTAAAAATTGAATTGACTTATATTTATTTAAAATATTTTTTTCTAACAATAACAATCTTCACGATCATTTTTTTATCAATTTAACACATCCTTGTTGAATAAAAGTATTATTTTCTTTAAAAAAAAGAAAGAAACAAATCACTTACCCCAAACTTTTGAACACTAGAATATATATTTTTCATCAAGATTTATATTTTAAATAAACGTTGTTCTTTTTTTCTTTTCTTCAATTTTTATTCATCAAAGAATCCTGAAAAAATGTATCACAGGTTACAGAAAATGTTAAGCAGTGTAACTGTTTCAAACATAATAAGTAAGCATATTAGAATAATTTTTGAAGGATCAAGTGACACTGAAGAAGAGTAATGATGACGATAATTCAGTGTTGCATAACAGAAATAAACTTGGATATTTAGAAAACTATTAATTTAAATTGTAACAACAAATCACAAAATTGCTATTTTTTAAGTATTTTTGATATATACTGAGCCTAGTTGCATCTCGTCTTTAATGCGCATGGTCGTGCAAACAGCTGGAGTGCGCCACGCAGCTGCGGGCTTGAACAGGTATTTATGATGACGTCAGCAAGGTAGAGTGGGCGCGCGGCGACTGCCATTCCGGTCCGGAGGCGCGAGAGCTCCTGTTCGAGTCCGAGGAAACACTTCCTGAGCGTCGGTAAGCGAATTAATCTGTACTTTTGCGGTTGTAGTGGGATATTTTCGATTCTCGCAACTTATCAGGTCAGTTGACGACTGTGTTGAAGAGTTGTTTGGTCTGTCATATCATGTTTTGTCCTCTGCAGTGTCATTATGACATTCAGTGAAGCCAAAAGTTTCGCGTTCATATCAGCTGCGGTTAAAGCGCTCTGATAGAGGTTTAAAATCATTTTTGAATGAGTACACGAGAGTTAAACAGCGTTGCTGAGATTAACTTAGTCATCGTGTGGAAAGTTCTCTGCCAACGCGTCACTTTTTTTTTTACATTTGTGTTTTCAATCTGCGCCTTGAATGCGCTCGTGCTAGATTTCATATAGGTTACTTGATTTAACGCGGTAGTTCACCCAAAAATGAAAATACTGTCAATCATTTATTCATCTGAAATTGTTCAACTTCCAAACCTCTGTTCTTTCGTTTTGTGAAACAGCGATGTTAGGCAGACTGACAGCTACTCACCGTACACTTTCATTGGGGGGCGAAAAGTGCCTGTCAGTCGCTTACATTGTGTTTGTCATTTCGTTTTGGGTTTCAAGGAAGGGAGCAAGTCATGTTTGTACAAATATGATGAGAGTAAACTATTGTGGTGATTTTTTTTTTTTTTTCATTCTGGGTGAACTAAGCTAGTGTGGCATCCACTCATTTTCTTCATCGTGTTTGTTTTATAAAGCATTTTTACAACAACCACCACAAAAATCTTTGAAATAAATCATATTTTAAAGTGTGTGTGTGTGTGTGTGTGTTTAGTGCTCAAGGCCAGTGTCCCTGCCCATGTAAACATTGACTTTCATTAGGGGAGAGTGGGCTGTCATTCACTGGATCCACCCCAGCCAAAGGACAACAGTGAACAACCACACAATACAACTACTGACAGATTTACTCAGGTGTGTTGTGTATATAAACTGTGCTAGAGTGCTTTAAAAGCACTCAGAGGGAAGTATGTTGCTGTATAATTTTGTAAATTATTATTTTATTCCCATGGGACATTCAAGGAGAATTTCGAAGAATGTTTCTGCTGATGTCATTTATCATGATTATTGTTTGGGGCGATCTATTCCTTTAAATTATTATTTATCTTAATTATTTTATGCCAGACATCATTGCCTAGGCTTCATCCACCAGCACCCATTGTGCATTGATTTTTTTTTTTTTCAGAATGCTTTAGTCAAAATCTTGATATGCGCTTGATGTACAGTATTTATTGTTTGTTTTTTATAGTTTGTATATTATTAATATTATTATAGGTCACCTGCTGTATTTATGATGACTACACGAGGTAAAAGCGAAGGATGCCGCATCTGTGGTAATGACCTGCAGGGTAACCAGAGACGATGGTTGTATGCAGGTCAGAACAGAAAGGGGGCACAACCTCAGACCCCAACAGACTTTTCTAGCAAGGGAAGCTTGCCCAGATCAGCACAAAGCAGCCCATGGGGTATGAACTTCAGAGCACATCTCCAACAACTTACATTTGTTTGGTATTACTGCTGCTTAATTAATTTTTGATGCTATTAAAGTATTGTTAATTTGTTTAGGTTTTAGATAATCAGATTTTTTCAAAAAGATGATATTGCATATTTAAATATAATTATGTACTCGATTTTTGTTCTTACTTTTTAATTCCAGGAAGCACTTTATCTCTCAGCTCCTCCCGTTCGCTCTCGAATTCCCGCGGCCTGCTCACCCCTACGAAAGGAATCGACCTGCTCAGTGTGCTGACACACATATTAGAGCAGCCTGTACCACGCGGGGCCGGTCAGGGGGAGTTTTTGTGTGGCAAGTGTGTGTCCGTTCTGGAGCGAGTTTTCAAGTTCGACACCGTTATCGCCCGAGTCCGAATGCTGTCAAATGAGAGACTCCAGAAACTCACTCAGGAAAGGGACAAGATTAGGCGATGGGTGCGAAGCATGTACGATCAGCGACACTCTGTTAGTTCGAAAAGAAAAGAAAGCTCCAGTGAGGATGAAGGGGACCGGAAGAATTCGGTAGGGGAAGGATACCGAGAAATCCTGAGGGACAACATGGCCCTCTCCCAGTACGAATGGTGGTCCGAGAAAGCCGAGTCCTGTCCGTATTTTAGGAAAACAGGGAAACGGTGTCATCAGGGCAAGAAGTGTGAGTGTTGTGACTCCTTGAGGGTGTCCGACTCAGACTATGAGTCCGTTTGTGGGATTCCACGTCACTTGCCCGATCAAGCCTTCACGTCATTGGGCCTCTCTCGAGACAAATCTAGCAGCATGCCCCTTCATTGGTTGAGCGTGCCATCTGTCAGATCGAGCCCCGCCTCGCTGTCTGGTTCCTGCCATTCTTTGCGATCTCGATCCCGCACTACCTCCGTCCAATCGCTGGACTCGATAGACGGCACTGATGTGTTTGATTGGCAAGAGGAGCATTCGGCCATTATAGACACCTTTTTCAAAGAATTGAGGGGAATTGAAGGAAAGCCGGTAAGGTCACCTGCTGGAAGTCGTATTCCCGTGTTAGACAGAGGGGACGTGCAGAATGGGAAGGATGAGGTAGATCTGAAAGCAGGGTTAGTGAGGGTCCTAGATTTCAGAGAGGGGGACAATGAGTTTGAAGAAGAGAACAACGACATCCTGACCGAGCTAAAAGATGACTTTATGCCATTACAAAGAGAGGTGAGGGCTGTTGGACTGGAAAAATATTCAACCTCTTTTTCATACCTTGCCGTTCATCTTTATCTCTCTTTTCTTTAGTCGTGTACGGTTAAGGTGCACCTTGCTGTGAAGCAGTTGCGTGAACAACTTGTTCAAGCTCAGGTTCGCATCAGAACTCTTGAGGCTCAGCTCAGGGAGACCAACAAACCAGCAACCGGTGCTCCTGCCAAGCAGTTGAAGTCTCCGCAAGTGGTGAGTGAGACGGGGCAGGGATAATTACGTTTAATGGTATGGTGCACTGAAGTGTGCACTGTGAGTATTGTGTTTTGGAGACTCAGCACAGCACGCCTGAGACACACCCTCTCCTAATCTTTCTGTTGACTTTTTGTTTTCAAATTTGGTTTCAAATGATGCCATAGGGTATATTACAGAAGGTGTGTGTGTGGATGTTTTTAAAAAGAAACGAACACACCTCCTCCAAGAATCTTCCCAAACCAGAGGAGTTTGCCCTGGGCTTTAGTCGGCGTTTCTTTCATAACAGGTTTTACAGCTGCTGCATTTTGATGTGCTTTCTCTCTCTTTGAGCCTTAATCATATATTAGATGTTATATTTTTCAACTACATCATCAAGAATGAATTCATAAAAGTGGTCCAGACACTTAAGCCATTTTCAAAATTTCATTGCATTAGATGACAAAATATTAAATTTAATTTGATAAAAGGTATTTGATTGTTTGTTTTGAAGAAAGAATGCACCTTTAAGCAAAATGTGTCAAAGAAATTTGTAAGGATAAAACAGTATGTTTGTAACAATATGTTAATTGAAATAAAGCAGAATATTAATATTAGATTAGAAATGTTACCTTGGCAGCAAACACTACATAAAACTGAATAAAAATGACAATTACTAAAATGAAAACTAAAAATAACACTTCATAGAAGTATTTGGACGGGTTGGACAAGCCAAATAAAATATTTATAGTGATGAAGTACACCTGTTCTGTTGTCTGAACTTGAGAAAAACTGAGGGTATGTTTACACTGAAACGATGTACTAAAAACGAAAAAGCGTGTCCTTTGCGTTTTTCGCGTACAGACTAAAACGTTGTCAAAACAGTCCCCGTTCACACTGATCCTTGAAACGATTAAATTTACTTTTTTTTTCTATATTTACTACATTTACCATTTATAGACTGAAAGTGTATATGCATGGCCAGTTTTTTCACAAATTCGTGTTTTTGTTGTTTACATGGAGACGATAACGGGATCATTTTCAAAAACTAGCATGTTTTTAAAAGTTTGTGTTTTGAGGCCTCAAAACACGGTTGTCGTGTAAATGGATGGCAAAATGTTTACCGTTTATAGGTGAAAATGGTGTCATGCAAACGGCCCCTGACTTCATACATCAACTAAAACTCACCTTCACATCAGTCGTTTACAATTAATTGCAAAAATGGCTCAGAAGAGAGAAGTTAGTTTGGAGAAATTCTAGCAGCATTAGCTTGCAGATAAATTTGATTTATTGTTATATAATGCAATGAATTAGGTGTGACATAAGTGTCCAAATACTTTAATCGCTCTCTTATAATCTACCTTAATTCGGCATTTTACAGAGTGCTGTAATTTCACAGCACTGGTACATTCTGGGTTGAGTCTATTGAATTGTTGCTCTCTAGTGTGAGGTGATAGCAGTTATGTAACACTAGGGGAATGCAGTCACAAGAAGTCACAATGCCACGAACTATCCCTCAGGCATGACATGGAGTCATTTTACTTGGAATAATGCCTGTTTGCGAGACTAATACCTATCTGATCTGTTTTGGCAATACAGACCAGCTTAAAGAATAAAAACGACCTCATAGAGAGTCTCAGCCAATCACTACACAGCAGAGAGAACGTAATCCAGGTGAGTCCTGTATTGATGAATTCATTATAGATTTAGGATAAGCCAGATTGTGTGGAGGTCAGTGAACTGTGTGCGCTCCTCTCTTCAGGAATGTGTGACTTTGATCCAGACGCTGTGTGCTGAGCAGGGAGTGGAATCAGAGGACACCGACAAACTCATCAAAAAACTGGCCAGTGCAGTGACCGATACATGCAGTGAACGTGAGGTGAGGTCTGACGTGATGAGGATGAGTTTCATAAATGACGACTTGCTCATACTTCTGTTGTTCCTAAATTAAGCCAATTATAATCAGTAAAGACCAACTCTAATCGTATAATAAAATGTGTGGCATTATTTAAATGGGAATGAAAGCATTATTTAGTCACTTTATGAGCCAATTGTTCTCTTAAAGGGATAGTTCACTTTGAAATAAATGTTTTGTATGTTTTAGCTTACCTTAAAGGCTTCCAAGATGTAGGTGTCTTCCGCAGTAGTTTCAATTTTGATATTTTAGCTCCAACCGTTCTTGTCAGTCATATAATGGAGGTCTATGGTCACCACCTCAAAGAGCATGCACAGAGAAGTCCAAATTAAACATGATTTAATGACTTGTAAATGCAAGTACACACTGATGGATTTACATTTAGGGTTAATATGACTTTTTAAAACAAATGAATGCTTTTATTCAGCAAGGCTGCATTAATTATTTGATCAAAAGTGACAGTAAACACAAGTATTTATTTCAGAAATATTTCATATTGCTGTTCTTTTGAACTTTCTATTAATCTAAGAATCTTGAAAAACAAAGTATCATGGTTTCCACAAAAATATTAAGCAGCACAACTGTTTTCAGCACTGATAATCACCAAATCATCATATTAGAGTGATCATGTGACAAAGAATGGAGTAATGATGCTGAAAATATACCTTTGCCATCACAATAATAAGTTACAACATAATAAAAAAAAGAACTCTGTTACTTAAACTTGCAATAATATTTCACAACATTGTTTTACTATATTTGATCAAATAAATAAACAAAAACATTTTTGAAAATCTTACTGACCCGAACTTCACTATCAACTTGTGGATATAGCAAAATTACACAGTGTAAGCATACAGTGAAGCTCTGGCTAACACACCCACTTTTGGCTGTGTGGGATCATTAACTTGGTAAATGAGCACTTCATGTTTGCTTCAAATGAGGTCCAGGAAATGCTGGATGCACGTGCAATCCATAGTTCTTATACTTTAATTCAACGTTCATGTTTGTTTGAATCAGGCTGTCTTGGAGGCTCAGCTGTCAGATGCTAGCGAGAGAGAGAAAGCCCTGGAGAAACAGCTGCAGGCCGCAAGGGACGCAGGCAGAGAGCGAGACCGAGACTTCATCACACTCAACACTGTGCTCCAGTGTAACCAGGATGTTATTAACGTGAGTTAAACAAACAGTGCTGTACGGTACACACATGTTTACTTAATCACTTGGTTAGTGACTGCTGCTGTTATACATGACTGCTATACATTTGTTAGCAAATGAGGCATTGATGGCTCTTATACAGAAAACAGAGCTCTCAAAGTGCAATGTTTTTAGTTTCGCAATAGTTTTAATGGTTTTCATTGTGTACAAATAAATCAAGTCCCCAAATTATATGGTGAAAAATGATTCAGCCTTCAACTTTATTTGAGAGTAAAATCAATGTTTTGTGTCTTCGAATAGCACCTGCGTGTAGAGCTTGGAGAGCGAGAGCAAGCCCAACAGGAGATGATGAAAGAATGGGAAGTGTGGAAAGAGAGAGATTCAGCCCTGACTGCACTGGTGAAGGATAACAAAGACTACATTTCCCAGCTTAAGGAAGCACTCGAGAGTTCATGCAGAGATGTGCAGGTAGATGTGGTGTAGACTCGCCTCTTGCAGTTGATTTAGTTAATGTACAATTTCCAAGAGTTAACTATTCACTTTTCCTCACAGGCACTCTCAGACTCTCTGATTGGACGGGGGTTGGAAGGGGGAGGAGCTGAGTCTGGATTGGTTAATCAGCTGCGAGAGAAAGAAGCTCTGCTGGTGGCGAGTTTCAGAGATAGAGAGGAGCTCAGCACCACCATGTTGCAGGAGATCTCAAGACTCTCCTCGGCCTTAACCGACGCTGAAAACCTCATACTGGTAATTGTGATTTCCACAATTGTGACTTTTTCAACACTCATTGCCAATCATTTTTAGTGTGCTGAACATCTCCAAAACCTTCCACTTCTCTATTTTGATACAACAGAAAAGCAATCGTGCCACCTGGTGGTGTGTACATGCATTGCTCTGGCCAATTCCAGTAATTAGTGATGCATTGAAATACATATTTTACCAAATAATCAATTTATTAATCACATTTACTTCATAATCAACACTCAAATAAAAATGTAGTTGCATATAGACATTTAAGTTACAGATAAGGCATTTTATCTTTTTTATTATATAATTGTGTTTCTACTCCAATTCATTGTTGAAATATAAAAATTTAAACTGGCTGTAATGAAAAGAGATTTATTCAAACGTGCATTAAATTATAACAGGCTAAATGAAAAAATATTAAATGTGTAATATAGCCCATATATTTATCAAAATGCGCCTCTTAAGTTAAATGTGAAGGCTAGGACTTTTTCATATTAAAAGTAACAGAGTAGCCTACAAAATAATTGAGTTATTTGATGGTAGACACGATTTAAGTAATGAGAGTCCAAACTAGAGCCCGACCGATAAAGGATTTTGAAGGCCGATACCGATACAAATATTTTTTAGTTTTAAAATCCGATATTCCGATATATCGGCCGATATTTTTTATTTATTTTTTTCAGAAACGCGCAACAAAACATTAACAGATTTCCCTAACATAGTTATTTGTAGTTATTTATGAGTTTTAACTGAAATAATATGATGAAGCATTTTTAAAAGAAACTTGTTACTTTTATTGTCACAACAGAACAGAGGAACATCAAAATATATTAAAGTTCTGATAAATAAAATAATAATTAGTCCCTACATTGCCTTATAAGCTACCTTATAATTACAATTTCAGGTTAGCTAGTCTATGATGAGCCATAATTTAGCAATAACGTCATACTGCAAATTGTAAAACATACATTTTCAATTTAACAGGCCAAGGAGAGATGATTGAAGCGTGTTTCGTCTGTTTTTATTTTATTTTTGAAATATTCATTTATCGGCCATTATAACTGCCGATACCGATAGTTTGGAAAATGTCTAATATCGGTCTGGCTCTAGTCCAAACCAGTGCACTCTCAAGATCTGGTTTGTAAGTTTTCATCAACATGCATCCATGTTCTTTCAGGACCAAAGAGAAAATCACAAACGTGCTATCACTGCCCTATCAGAGCGACTCAAAGACACACTTAAGGAGCTGAGAGAGAAAACCAAGGAGACGAAGGAGGCTGAACTAGGGTGGAAGAAGGAGAATAAGGAGAGAGCTTTCGAAGAAGTAAAACTGAGGGACAATCTTCAGAAGAGAGATAAACTTATAGAGGCAAGTAACCTGCCTCTGCTTACTCTACGTTTGTACATCCACTGGGGGCATAAATTAATCATGTGATCTTTTTTGTTTGCCTTTCATAGCAAGTTCTTCTGGAGTTAGAGGAGCGGGATGGCGTGTTATCAGAGCTAAAGCACAACATCTCTAGCAAACTTGGACCCAAGACAGCCCTCAAACACACACTGTGAGTGTGTGATTAACACATACTGTGAGTTTAATTATGCTCTGTGAATACTGAACTGCACAATATATTGTTAATTGACTGCAATGTCTAAATTCTCTCAGATGCCTTTCAATTTGCTGCACTAAACTAACAGAAATGATGATCTGCTTCAATTCTTATGGTAGTTCTCTAGTTTAAGAATTTGAGATGGGCTAATGTGTGCAGTAAGTTGTGAATAGTGCCAATCTATGTTCTGACATATTGCTCAAAACTGATTTTTGGAAAGTTGAGGGTATATAATGAAATATTATTTTAGTTCACATGAATTTATGATTGGTCCATTACAGGTTGCTTTAGTCATTTTGATTGAATACAGCCATAAAATGTTCTGATTACGTCCTACACTGTCAGATTGTGGTTCCAAGATTTACATACACACAAGTGCCTTTTCAGCACTCTTACATAATTTGCTTATTAATAATTAAGTTCCCTAGAGCCTTCAATTGTTGTTGTTATTATTATTATTAAATGGTTAATTTTTTATTGATTATGGCTGCTGGATATGTTGAATGCTGCTTTTCTCTTATTGTTTGATTTACTGTATTTTCCCCCATGTTCTGTTCCATGTGATCTTTATGTTTGTCCTGTATTTATAAATGTTTTCTCAAGTTGATTTGTTTTTGAGATGCAGTTATATTCCCAACTTGGATGTGCTATCGTTGTTCCAGTGTAGGAAAATCTTTTTCACAGCAGAAGGATTTACAGACTGTCTGAATTTTTTTTTTAATTTTTTTTTTATTTTCTTATTTTATTTGGGTAAACTGGAATCCCCGAAACTTGATGCATACCTCATAAATCACATTTAAAACGAAGCCTCAAGTTTGTGTGGGTTTTGCGGTTCTAGAGGTTTTCTTTTATTAAAAGTTCTTTCTTGAGAACTCAGGGGTTTGACAATAAAGCCTCGAATATTCAAATTGGTGTGTTTTGTGTGATCATTATGTCTCTGAAAAGCGTCTAACTTTTTTATGGGTGACTTCATATTACACATTTCTAAAAAAAAAAATAAGTTTAAGTATCTACTTCTACCATAAGTAATACAAGTAATTGTATTATTTTCAACAGGTTTTTTACCTAATATAAATCATTGAAATATATTTAAAAAGTACAGAATGTTATTATAATTAATTTAATAAATGTACTATATTATTTGATTTTTGATCACAGTATGGGTTTTTTGATTGAATGTAAAATGCAACATCAATACCAGGGGTTTAGTGTGTTGAATTGTGATTGTTTTTTATCAGAAATTCTTTAGTGGGCCTTGTAATATCTGAGATTAAAGCTAGTATTTATTATTTGTCATGCATCCATAATTCAAAATAAATCTTATTTTTATTTTAATAATTGATATAGTGTGACAGACTAATTTAGGGTGTCTGTTCTACATCACAGAACACGACCTGCTCACATCATGTAACAGGATCTCACTGATTGAGTTGCAGTGTGAATGGATAAGACTGAATTGCCTTCACTTGTGTGTCTCGCGCTAGTAGCTACCCAATCAGAGCTCTGTGCGCCCCGGTCACTTGAGGAACTGTTGCGTTGGAGACAACCAACTCTTTTAAACCCAAACAATTTGGAGTTATTCTTCGGATAGTTCAGCAGTACCGTGAGTGACCATGAAGCGGTCCGTCCAGTCCGCATCTCCGTCTGTGGCTGTGGGATCTAAAGGCTGGAGGGACGCGACTGTCAGCTCGATTGTGCGCGCCGCTGAACTGACGCGTCAAACTCGCGTAGATCAACTGCACTCTTCTACTCGATACCGCAGCCACGTTGGGGCATTTGCCCACAGACGTCCTCAGTTAACAGCTTCTAGTGACGAGAAGGACCACCGTGAGAGTGACTCGGAAAAGAAAGATGAATTCCGACCTAAATCCACTGGAAGAATGGTAAAGTAGCTCAGAACTAATTAGCCATAGGTGTCGGATTTATGTAATGTAATTACATGTAGCCTAAAGTTAATTATCTCCCTAGTCGTTTCGTTTAGCCTAACGTTACCTACCTATCATTTTGTTATAAGCTTAAACGGACAGTTTAGGTTTTTGATTGGCCAATAGAGCGTTAAATTGCGCCAATGACGTTTTCACCATTGTTGCGGATTGTCATTTTTGTTGAACGTTACGTTATTATGACTCTGAATATCTTACATTTCATACATTTTCGGGATAAAACAACATTAACTAAAGTTTGTATCCGTAACATGTTTAGAGTAGGCTAAAGTTACTCCATGGGGGTTATTTATTTGTGAATAATGAATAGCCTACTTTGTGGCGCTGTGAATTTCTCAACGCAGATTTCTTGTTTTTATAATTATTTTATAGGTCATAGTGACGGAAAATATTAGATGGACAGAAAATAGACTAATATTCCTAAGCTCTTGGGTTCTTTCGCAAAACGTTCGCGTTCCCTGCCCTGAGAACCGCAAATGTTTCGCTACTGACGCAAAGTTTCTCGTGGGAATGCAAACATAGCCTATTCTTTCGCATTATCATGTTGATTTTAAGGTGATATTATATAGTTTTTAGGGGATATTATGATAACACCGACCATTAGGCTAACCAACCTACAGTAACTGGATTATTTACCACTAAACCAATTTCAATCAACCACTAGTATATTTTAAAATATATTACAATAGAAAAGTTGTTTTAAATTGTAATAATATTTCAAGTATTACCGTTTAGGTAACACTTTATTTTAGTGTCCCATATATATAGTACTTACTATAAATTATGCATAATTACAAGTAACTATCCGCAAACCACACCTAACCCTATGGAAAGTACATGTAGTTATTATTACTCAGTAGGCCTACTTGATTAGCCTATATAGGCTAATTACAATAATACGGATGGGCACCTTAAAAAAGCACAATCCTGTTTTTACAGTATTGATAAATTAAATGCAGCCTTGCTGAGCAAAAGAGAAAAAAAAATCTTACAGACCTCCGACGTATGAAAGGTAGTGTATGAAAACAATAGAAATATGCATTTGCATATGCAAATGAACTGTCTGAAGGTAAATGTACTACATGTTAAGTAGAATTCTATTAGATAACTACAGCCTTCTTTTTCTTTGATAGCTCACTTCCAGAATCACTAGTGGCCCCTTTCCCCTGCCGGCCCTGCGTGATCAGAGTGCGTTGGTCAGCGCAGGTATGGTGGGTGAATATACGCGGGGTGTGAGAGAGGTGGAGGGTCACCTGCGCAGACAAGCAGGCAGGGTCACGCAGGAGGACACCAGGGTGGAGCATCTAAGGGAACGACTGGAGAAACTACTCTGCAGTCTGAGGAAAGCATTGCTGGTCAATCAGCAAAGTGCTGATGGCAGGACATTTCGACCACCCACGACGGAGACCGTGAGTAGCCATAATGAACTCCACAAGGAGTCAAAGAGATAAAAATATGAGTGTAAAGTTATGAGTAAAGAAAAATAAAGAGTGTAAAATCATGGCTTCCACTAAATGTTTTGTCAAGATGCGGGATGGAGCCGATGACCTTCTACACAATGAACGAAAAGTCCTGAATGAGTTAAAAGAAGAACTGGACAGCATGTTGAGGAAGACTTTAACTCAACAAAAGGTGAAAAATAGGCCTTGCATATTTAAGATATGTCGGATGCCTATTGTTTTCACACAAAATGCATGAAGTTGAACTTGCATGTTCAGTAGAATTAAATCATCAAGACTGCAAAACAAAAAGAACGTAGTGAATTTTTTATTTTATTTTTCACTTTGAGGTTTTGGCCGAGAGCAGTAAGCAGTTGTTGGATTGCGCCTTTGAGAGATCCAGAGTAATAGATCTGCTTCCCCAGCATGGCTCACTCTCAGCGGGTGTGAAAACCTATCCTTCACCCCTCTCACAGAAACCTGACCCCACCGGACCGTTCACTCCAGGTACACCAGGACACTTTTATAGTCTCTCACCCTTCATTTTTGCCCAAATTACAAGCTATATCTAATCTTTCTCTGTCTGTCTCTTACCATCATCGTTAAGAGTGCAAACAGGCTTTGGATTCTGCATCAACAGTACTACGTGAATCTCAGCAACTCAGAAAGAACATTTCACAAGTCATGAGGGATGTCATCAAAAAGCAAACAGATATGCACCAATCAGCCAGCGAAGCCCTGCAGAAGAAAATCACTGAAACGATCAGCCTGGAGGTGTGTGATTACAGTGCAGAGAGTGTAGGAAAGTCTATCCCTTTAATTGCACTTTCATGTTTCAGCACTAGAGGGCACATGTCGTTCACTCTACTGATAACGTCCCCTTTAAGATCATGCACTTTATACACCGCACGCGCTGGGTCACGATGAGCATGTAAACTTCAAAGCTGTGTGCGTTCGTGCAGAAAAGTGAGTTTATTTCTTATTTCCTGTAGAAATGTGCACGATAATAATGTTGTTTATATTATTATAATAGTATATTCATCTTGCAAGTTGTATGTGCACAAGTTAATGTTATTCGATACTCTGTCAGAAATGTTATTCGATGTCGGAAAGCTAACGTGCTAGTTCCTCAGACAGTGTTATAATGTGTTGTCATATTAACATTTAAAATGTTAATCTGTTGCCATTTTACAGTTATTTGACATGCTACACTATTATAATTGTGGAATTGCTTGTAAATTGTTGATTGTTGATCTTCTGTTCAGTATGAAAATATCTGTAGCAGTTTAACAATGACTGTAATATAATTTTGTCTAATTTGTACTATTATCCTTTGTTTCAGACCACACACACACACCCATATACAAACAGCCATGTACATGTTATTTATGTGCCCAGCATATTAAAGTTTTGGATATAACTCTCCGAGCCCTTACTCTCTAACCGGAGTCACCAGTCTTTAAGGCCTATCTGAACAATCCAGAGTTCCATCTCTACAAATGGTCCTTCGAGCCGGATGATAGCAACCTTGAAGACAACATGCAGTCCGAGCAGGAGGTCACAAAACCGATTGTGCGTCCTCGTACTCAGCGGGAGAGACATCCACCAGCCTACTTAGATGATTATGATGTTGGGTATCAACCAAGCCAAATTCCAGATTGTAGTGCGGATGCCAGTAGGATAATGCCAGCGGTTACCATTCCAACTGCACAGTCAGAGCATGTGACTGCGTCTAGTAGGCCATCTTCAGCACGTTCATTTCCTTGTTCACGTCACAGCCAATCAAGAACAAAGACTAGCAGAAGCTCTGGATCCAGCCGAAACACAGCTTCACAACTGACTGATCTACAGACAGCTATTGTAGAGGAGAAATTGAAGAGCATGGAGCTTGCAGAGATGCAGAGACAGATGGTGGAGGAGAGCAAAGCTGAAGAGCAGTGTGAGTTCCTGGATCAACAAGCACGGTATGCGCTATATGAGAGAGAAGAATTACTCAGAGAACAGCAAAGAAGAAGTCGGCAGTTGGATGAAGAGGCTCGTGCAGCGCACAAGACCAAGGAACTGATCACCAAGCAGCTGGAAAGACAACGCCGCATTAAGCAGAAGGAGATGGAGCTGGAGAAAGCACGTCTCATTGCATCACTTCTTCGAGAATCAGAGACTGAAAATGCAACAGCTGTTCCACAAACCAGAAGTGAGCTTGATCCAGGGCAGGTACAGACTGATATACTCTGTTCACAGAAGGTAGATGTTGTTCCTCACACACCAAATCAGTTATCTGATAATCCACAGCACTCAACACATTACATACATCAGAGTAATTCTGTTAACCCTCCGCTCTTAACTTCATACTCTGTCACTGAGCACATTACACCTATCTCTATTCCCAAGCCATTAGATGTAGACTATTCTCATGCTGTAGCATCACCGGTGCCACCCCAACAGGTAAAATTCTCTAATCCAGAGGTTTACCCTCCTACAACAGTGCAACACTCCTTGTCTTTTGATAGACAAACCCATAGTGTTAGACAGTCAATCGCCAACCCAACCTTTCTGCCTAGACCATACATGTCACAGGATTCCACAGGGACCAGCTATGCCCAGCCACTTACTTTTGTAGGCCCAGTCCAGCCTCGACCTCATCCTCCAACAGGTCAGTTGCATCAACCTGTTAGGCAAGTGAAGTTTAACTCACAGCCATTTTCAGTGCCTAGTATCCCGTGTGTAGAGTCACAAGCCCCAGTCAATATGATGGACATGTTGATTGCCAGCTCATATGGTATACCCAAACCAGCCCTGCCTAAATTTGATAGTGGTAAAGAGTCTGACTTTGCCTTACTCAAAATGGCTCTGGACAGTCTCTTAGGTGGTCATGCTCATCTCACAGAGCAATTTAAATACCAAGTGCTTCTAGACAGATTAAAACTGCCAAGTGCCTACAAATTAGCACAAGCTTACATGCATGACCCTACTCCATATACGACGGCATTGCAAGCCCTCCAAGACAAATACGGGCAAGCCCGCCAACTTGTACAGAGTGAACTTGGTGCTATGTTGAACTCTCCACCTGTCAGAGTAGGGGATGCTGAAGCATTTGATAACTTTGCGCTGTCGGTACATTCTCTTGTGGGCATGCTGCGTTCATTAGAGGGTGAGAATGGCTACGAACTGAAATGTGGCTCACATGTAGACAGAATTTTAGCCAAACTGCCTGCTAGCTATCGTGATGGATTTGTAGAGCATTGTTTAAATCGTGGTATACTAATCACCGGGACAGACAAAACATACACACTGCTGGACCTATCAGCGTGGCTTCAGATAAAATCACAGGCAAAGCGTATCTCCAGCAGAGCTGTGGACATGTTTCAAGAGCAGATGAAGCCTCAAAAGAAAGGGATGAGAAGCCAGAACCACCCATCATCTTCTGTGTACTACAATACCAGTAGTAGTCCAGATAAATTACCACTTACTTCTCCGATACAACGTACATTCCCGCTAAAGCCAAAAGACAAGCCTAAGCCCTATTGTCCATATTGTGACACACGTGAGCACTATCTCAGCCTGTGTACAAATTTCAAGTCACTAACAACTACCCAAATTGCAGAGTGGCTCAAAGACAAAGGCTGTTGGCGCTGTGGACGTAATCACAAACCTGAGGCTTGCACCCTCAAGAAGCCCTGTAAAATATGTCAAAAGCAGCATCTCACTGTGCTACATGATGTAACCATACAGGAGCCCAACCAGGTCCTCATGGTCAGTACTCCTCCAGACACCATTTATCTTGACCGTCCCAACCGACCTCAACAGGTCATGTTAAAGGTAGTCAAAGTACTTCTGCATAATGCTGAACACTCCCTAGAGGCATATGCTTTGTTGGATGATGGTTCTGAGCGAACTATTCTCCTTTCTTCTGCTGCACTATGTCTCAAACTACAGAAGGAACCAGAAACCCTCTCACTGAGAACTGTACAGCATGAGGTAGTTCATCTGAAAGGGGCATCCGTTTCTTTTGAAATTTCCCCAGCTGACAACTCTAAGCTGAGATTCAATATCCATCATGCATTCACTGCTGATGAACTGGGTCTTTCCGAGCATAGCTACCCAGTTAAAGTACTGATGAAGAAGTACAGGCACCTACAGGGGCTACCGATCCCAGCAATTGACAAAGTGAAGCCTGTACTGTTGATTGGTTCCGACTTTCCACATTTGCTCATCCCTACCCAGCCTGTTCGAGTTGGTCCTTCTGGGGGACCAGTAGCAATATGTACTTCCCTTGGTTGGACACTTCAAGGTCCTGCCAGCTCGGTCAATCTTCCCTTTGAAGAGCAGCACTGCTTCTTTACTTCAGTGATGTCAAATCACTCTGATCTCCAAATGCATGTGGAGAAACTGTGGCAAGTTGATACTTTGCCCTATATCAGTGAGAAAGCAGCCACTAGATCCAAGCTTGACCAGCAAGCACTTGAGATGCTTGAGCAGCGCACAGTAAGGATGAATGTAGATGGCATAATGAGATATGCTACACCACTTCTCAGACGGAAGGATAGTCCGTGTCTAAAAGCGCCCAAATCTGCTTGTCTTTCACTACTTCGAAGTACAGAGCGGCGGATCGCCAACGATATCAATCAAACCAAGACTTATTGTCAAGAGGTCCAAAAGCTTGAAATTGCCGGCTATGTGAAGAGATTGGCACCTGAGGTTGTAGATTCCTCTTCTGAGTCATGGTACCTCCCTCATCATTTAGTCCATCACAACAACAAAGCAAGGCTTGTTTTCAATTGCTCATATCAATACAGGGGCCAAGCGCTAAATGATCACCTTCTCCCGGGTCCCATCTTGGGTCCGTCCTTGCTTGGTGTCCTCCTTCGGTTCCGTGAGCATGCGGTGGCTATCAGTGGAGACATTAAAGCAATGTTCCACCAGATCCGACTTCTCCCGGAAGACCGCTCATTGTTACGCTTCATCTGGAGAGACATGAAGAGGGACGAAGAACCAAGTGTCTTTGAATGGCAGGTTCTTCCATTTGGGACCACCTGCAGTCCTTGTTGTGCCACATATGCGCTTCAAAGGCATGTAAAGGACAACCATGAAGGCTACGAAGATGTTCAAAGGTCTATAGAGCAAGCATTCTATGTTGACAATTGTTTGCAGAGTCTTGACTCCCCAGAGAAGGCCCGTAACCTAATTGACAGGATGCGCAGTCTTTTGTCTTCTGGTGGCTTTGAAATCCGCCAGTGGGCCAGCAATGTCCCTGCTGTAATAGAACACCTCCCTGTTGAAGCCAGAGCAGCCAGTACAGAACTGTGGCTTTCTGAGTATAGTTCTGACCCACAAGAGCCAGCTTTAGGTTTGCGCTGGAATTGTCTCACTGACCAACTTGGATATAAACATCGCCAAGTTGACTACTCCGAGCCTACACTACGAAATGTCTACAAAGTACTGGCCACACAATACGACCCACTTGGATATCTCATACCCTTCACCACTAAAGCAAAAACGCTAATTCAAGATCTCTGGAAACTCAAGATTGGTTGGGATGACATCATCCACCCTGAAAACCTGTTGGTACAATGGCAAGCCTGGGAGGCTGAATTGGCCAATTTGCCCACTGTGGAAATACCCAGAGCGTATATCCCATCATATGCTGACACAGAAGACACCCAGAGAACCATCCATATCTTTTGTGATGCCTCCGAACGGGCATACGGGTCGGTTGCTTACCTCAACACTCAAGATCAACAGAAACGAACCCATGTTGCTTTTGTGATGGCAAGGTCCAGAGTGGCTCCTCGCAAGCAGACCTCGATTCCCCGCTTAGAGCTTTGTGCAGCTCTTTCAGGAGCACAGCTGGCGAAGTTGCTCAGTGAAGAGCTTTCTGTTCCTTTGGATGATATAATTCTGTGGACCGATTCAACAACAGTCCTAAATTGGATAAGAGCAGACTCTTGCCGCTACAAAGTTTTTGTCGGGACACGCATCGCCGAAATTCAGGACATGACTTTGATGTCAAATTGGAGATATGTCAATACTGCGGATAACCCTGCGGATGACCTAACTAGGGGCAAGACTTTGATTGAGTTGAGCAAACCTCAGCGCTGGAGGCAAGGACCAAAGTTCCTTCACCAACATCCCAACACCTGGCCATCTCTGCCTAAATTAACAACTCCTGATGACAGTGATGAGCTAAAGAAGCAATCATTCTGTGGTAATTCATGTCTTGCCAAGCCTCAAGTTGACATCTCTAGTAGTAGTAGTTGGAATGAACTGTTGAAAGCAACTCACCAGTCCCTTCATGGGGCGGCTGCTATCATGACTGCAGCAGATGCCATATCAGCTGAACTATACCTATTAAGACAAGCTCAGAGTGACAGCTTCCCAGGAGAAATGGATGCACTGATCAAAGGTAAAGCCATATCCGTCCAGAGTCGTCTTGCTTCACTTTCCCCTGAGTATGATCAAACACTTGGTTTAATCCGAGTTGGAGGACGACTCCGTCAAGCTGACAGCCTAGATCCAGACACTATGCATCCGATAATACTGGACCCTAAACATCAGATTACAATGCTCCTAATCAAAGAATATGACAACCATCTTATGCATCCAGGTCCAGAGAGAGTCTTGGGTGAGATCAGACGCAAGTACTGGATCCTACGGGGCAGAGAATCAATCAAGAAGCATCAGTACAACTGTGAGAAGTGCCAAAAATGGAGAGCAAGTCCTGTAATTCCGAAGATGGCAGACTTGCCCCCATCTCGACTTCGGCTGTACAAGCCACCTTTCTGGTCCACTGGTGTAGACTGCTTCGGACCGTTCACAATTAAACTGGGTAGACGCACTGAGAAACGTTGGGGCATTATATTCAAATGTATGACAACCAGTTGCATACATCTTGATCTCTTAGAGAGCATGGACACGGATGCTTTTCTAATGGCCTTAAGAAGATTTGTGTCACGTCGTGGTAAGCCATTTGAGATACTGGCAGATAGAGGTACTAACTTCCGAGGAGGAGCTACTGAACTCCAGGAGGCCTTTGCTTCGTTAGAGGTTCCCCTTAAAGAACATCTTGCATGCCAGGAAATTGCTTTCCAGTTTAACCCTCCGAATGCGCCACACTTTGGAGGGACCTGGGAGCGAGAGATACGATCAGTTAAAACTGCTCTCCAGGTTGTCTTGGGCAATCGAACAGTAACTGAAGCAGTCTTGCGTACAGTGTTAGTGGAAGTCGAGGGAATTATTAACTCCAAGCCACTCGGATACGTCTCATCAGATGTTGCCGATCCAGACCCAGTCACACCAAATCTATTGCTAATGGGCCGTCGTGATGCATCACTCCCGCAAGCAATCTACTCTTCTAGTGATCTGTTAGGGAGACGACGATGGCGACACAGCCAAATTCTAGCTGATCACTTTTGGGTTAACTTCATTAGGAATTATTTACCAAGTTTGCAGCCCCGACAAAAATGGCAGAAGGACAATGCCAATTTAAGTGAAGGTCAGATCATCATGATAGTTGATCCGCAATTGCCCCGAGCCTTGTGGCCTATAGGCAGAGTGACTAGAACCTATGCAGGAGCGGATAATCGCGTACGCACAGCAGAAGTGCAAGTGAAAGGGCGCACTTATATCCGACCTGTTGCCCGTTTAGTTAAGCTGCCATCATGGGAAGATGAGGAAGAAAATAGCAACAGACATTGAGACTTTCCTAACTAATTACAAATTTGGAAACTAAATTTGGGGGCGGCTATGTAGGAAAGTCTATCCCTTTAATTGCACTTTCATGTTTCAGCACTAGAGGGCACATGTCGTTCACTCTACTGATAACGTCCCCTTTAAGATCATGCACTTTATACACCGCACGCGCTGGGTCACGATGAGCATGTAAACTTCAAAGCTGTGTGCGTTCGTGCAGAAAAGTGAGTTTATTTCTTATTTCCTGTAGAAATGTGCACGATAATAATGTTGTTTATATTATTATAATAGTATATTCATCTTGCAAGTTGTATGTGCACAAGTTAATGTTATTCGATACTCTGTCAGAAATGTTATTCGATGTCGGAAAGCTAACGTGCTAGTTCCTCAGACAGTGTTATAATGTGTTGTCATATTAACATTTAAAATGTTAATCTGTTGCCATTTTACAGTTATTTGACATGCTACACTATTATAATTGTGGAATTGCTTGTAAATTGTTGATTGTTGATCTTCTGTTCAGTATGAAAATATCTGTAGCAGTTTAACAATGACTGTAATATAATTTTGTCTAATTTGTACTATTATCCTTTGTTTCAGACCACACACACACACCCATATACAAACAGCCATGTACATGTTATTTATGTGCCCAGCATATTAAAGTTTTGGATATAACTCTCCGAGCCCTTACTCTCTAACCGGAGTCACCAGTCTTTAAGGCCTATCTGAACAATCCAGAGTTCCATCTCTACAGAGAGGAAAGGGATACTTGGGATTATTGATTACTAATTCTAAGTACTCTCAGACAGAATTCTGTTGAATGAATTTTAATAAGGTAAAGTCAATGAAGATATGCACTACATTTCGAAAGTTGAATTTTTTGTGCTTTGATGCATTAAATTCATCAAAAGTGACAGTAAATACGTTTATATCACAGGAGACTTCCATTTCAAAGCTCTTATTTTGAACTGGAAAAAAATGTTTTTAAGGGACAGGGGGATGTATAGAACTTTCCAAATGACAGACATTGAAATCCCATGGAAATTTACATAACTTTATCTGGAAATGGAAGAAAAAAATACCCTTCCAAAGTGTTGTGATGACATTACATACATTATAAATTTGCCCTGCTTCTATTTTGTACTTGAGGAGTTAAATGTGACTTTTCAGGACGCATACTTTTTCTTCTTCCTCATCAGCAACATCTGACACTGAGCTCCGCTGCCACGAGACAGGCCATTTATCGCAAACAGAGACAGATGCAGTGTGCTGGCTACAGTCTTGGCAGAGCTATGGTATGTTATTTATAGAGTCACATATTGATATTGTAAAAACACACCCATAACTATATGTATAGCCTAACAGATCACTAAATGAGCCTAAAAGTGCTGCTAAATATCCAACATGTTGACTTTTTCACTCACTGGTTGGTCGTTAAAGCAGAAGTCCTTGTCTCCCGGCAGGGCCCAGTTTGCAGTGCTGATCTCTTTTGTCGTGAGAGATTAAGCAGGCCTATGACTCAGCTGTATGGGAGGCATTCAAGTGTTGGGCTGCCGGAATCCGACCTCCTGACATGGGTCAGCTTTTTTGTAATCTGACATTCCTAAAATTCCTTTATGATCTGTCAATCATAAAGGGCAGTACTTCCTAGTCTTTGGTTGTGTAACATTTGGAGAAAGCATGCTGGGGGTGAGGATCTAAGCGCAGTGAGAACATAATAAATGAACTAAGTCAAAACTGGGAAACACAGGGAGCACAGAGAGCATAAATAAGACGCACCTGGGGAGACTAATCAGAACTACAACATGGCACTCGAGACAGGAAATATTAAAAAAAAGTCCCCAAAAACACATACAGGGAGTATTTAACAGGTTTATAACCTGATTGCATGGATTGTACTTGTTTTTAAATGATTTTCAGAATATATTTTTGAATATTATGCAGTTTTAGTATGGCAAAATACATTTAAAAAAATGTTGTGACCATATGATTGATTATAATTCAATTTAATAATAATGTAGAGCACAAACAGTACATCATATTTTTTATGTATGTATGTATATTAAAAAAATAAAAATACAGGAAAAAACGGCAATATTGGGAATTATTATTACATTTACATTTAATTTATTCCTGTGATGTTAAAGCTGTATATTCAGCATCATTACTCCCGTCTTCAGTGTCACATGATCCTTCAGAAATCATTCAAATATGATGTTTTGCTGCGCAATAAATATTTCTGATTATTATCAGTGCTGAACATTTTTGTGGAATCTTTCTAAATTAATTTTCTAAAAAAAAATATTACTGAGCCCAAACTTTTAAAGCTACACTGTGTAACTCTTTTAGTTTATTCTTAGCTAAAAACACTTAGTTCTTTCAAAAATATATGTGCTCATTAATGTATATTTACTTCGTTCAAGTAATAAAGTATTCTCTTGAGTGTATAATATGCCATTGAAAATACATCCGGGTAAGGGGTTCTAATGTCGGTCGCCATGTTGCCCCTCCATCTTGAAAGTACATTAGCCAAAGAGGGACATACCTGTTAATTCAAGCTTCGCCTTTCGCGTTTACGTTAACACTCATGGAAGAGGTCGAACTGGAAGCCATGTTAATCTTGGACTACATTGGCCACCGTATGAGTTAAAACAGAATCGGAATTGAGTGGAACAGAAACTAATATTCACTGGATGGTCATATACTTTTTCACCGCAAGATGGGGGTAAAAATCACACAGTGTAGCTTTAAACGTTAGTTGATAGTCTAAATTAAAGACATATACATTGGCAATTACAGTGAGTGCTCTGTTAACACATACATTTCCCTTGTACTCTCAGGGCAGGACTATGCTCCGGAAACATCTGGAATCCTCAGGGAAAGATATTGCAGAGCTACAGTTTGCCCATCAGCAGCTGGAGGATGACATGTATGGAAAGCGTGCCGCTGGCAGTGTGGACTCTGCTGTTGTCAGGCTGCGGCGGAGACTCGTACGTCCACAGTCTGTCCGGCCTGTAACCAGTTAAAACTCTAATAACAGCAATTTTAAAATAAAGATCGTGTTTCACTTCAAGGTAGAAATCTTTCCATATATTTTACAAAGTTACCATTTGGTGTTTTCAAAGTAAGTGTATGGTGATTTCAGTGTCATAAAAAAATAGTTTGGAAATATAAATGCAAAATGTACGGTTTCACATGTCTGTCACACATTTTTACGGTGGCCCAGTAGTGCACAACACAGTGAAATTTAAAAAGCAAACATAAGGCCCATGAACCCCCTAGTGGTCGGTTGTGTTGTGGCTTGATTTTGTTGTGTAGTGAACTTTTGTTGGCTTTTTCAATTTCGTTGTGTTGTGCACTACTGGGCCATCGTACAAATGTGTGACAGACATGTTACAAAATGTTAAAGGGGTCATATAATGGTGCATGCACTTTTACAAGTTGATTGTACAGAAATGTGTGTTGGCAGTGCCTGTACACAACCATCATATAATGATACAAAAATCTATCCAGTATTTTTATTTTTGTTTTAATCTCCTCATACGTTTTTCCCTGTCTCAAATCGAGCCGTTCAACCGTGTGACGTCAGTAAAACACAGCAGTGTCCCTTTAACACAAACACATAAAAAAACTTTTAAGAGGTCCTATTATGTTTTTTACATTTTCAGATTTCTTTTTTGTTTAATGTTGCCGTTTGAGCATGAAAAGGTCTGCAATAAGTTACAAAGCACTAAGTCTACTACAAAGAGAGTTAGTCTTTATATATCAGTGCGAACTGTTCCTGAACTCCCTGAAACTACAAAGGGAGTTAGTCTTTATATATCAGTGCGTTCTGTTCCTGAACTCCCTGAAACAGGCAACAATTGAAGATTGTAGTCTTGAGGTTCTTCCAGGAATGTATATAATTATGCTTAAGGGTTTACTATTACACGATATTCCTCATGCTTAAAGCATACACAAAAAAGGGGTGAACCCTGGTTACATTAGTAGTGACATTTCTGAAACGTGCTCGAAGCAATGGACCAATCACAACACATTGGTCCAGCTGAACAATCGCAACACATTGGGCTTTTCGGAAGGAGTGGCTTTATAGAAACGGGAACTAAACTGTGCTGCATTGCCCAAAAGCACCATTGGCCTAAGTAGGACATAGAACTATTGCCACCAATGGTCTCTACAATCAACTTAGTTTACAATGCTTTTGAGAAACGCAGCCCAGAGCATAACTAAAAGACTGGGAAGAGAAGGTGCTGCAGTCTGCAACAATGTAAAATATGTGACAAATGTGTTTTTTGAAAAATCAATCATGAAAACCTATTCTAATAGACCCAAAAGTCATGTCCCAAATGGCCCACTATACACTATGTACTCAACCATGTCATGTATACATTTTATGAGGTTATTTTTTCATTCAACATTGGAGTCTGATATCCTTCCCCCTTGATGTTGAGTGCATGAAGTGTCCAATATTCCACATTTGTTTTTTCGGTAAATCAAGTGCATCATTAGTATTTGGAATTTTCATTGTGAACACACTTCTCGCAATATTTCTACAACAAAACTCTATGGACTAGTGCATGTGAATATGGATGCAACTCATAATACAAACACATAAATGCACTTCATTTCTCCTGTGACATTTTAAAAGTCAGAATACCTTAACGAGGATTTGAGTTCTGTTGAATGAGTCTTATCTGTGTCTCCAGGCTCTTACTCTCTTTCACCAGTTTCTTCCCCGCTTCTTTTACTATCTCCCTCTCTTCCATCACTCTCTTCTCCTCTTCTCTCAGCTTCCTCATCTTCTCCTCAAACAGCCACAGTTCCTCCTCAAACTGCTCTTCCTCTTTCACCAGTCTGTCCATCAGGTCAGCATGCTCTCTTTCTCTCTGCTCCAGTTCTTTCTGCTGCACTGCCAACGTCCCACCAACCACACCAGACTCCAAACTCGGCTGTTGAGACGGTAATTTATTAGTGTAAATAATCATTTTCTGCAGAAAACATGCTTCAAATAAACTCTACTTCAATGTGTAATATCAACGTGTAACTCAACCACATTCTAGATAAAGCTCTTAGATGAACATGCAGAGAGAAAAATGGCCACACCAACCCTTTTGACGTCATAATCACTAAGATTTGGGGGCGGAGCTTCTCCCTCCAGGAGGAGGAGATTTTGAACTTCAAAGCAGCTGTCTTGAATTATTATAGCAGCCTTCAAAAATAAGAGTATAATATTTATACATTCATACAAACACACACATATTATTCATAAGATAATCAATAACTCCCACCTGCAGACTGTAAAGTATATGAATTAAGTTGTGAACACCCTCTGCTACCTAGATTCATAGAAAACAAAAATAGATATGATTCATTCATGATCAGCAGAATTTGTACATAAATACATACATTATTCTATGGAACAGAATTGCATGAGAATATTTATAGAATGTCAGAAAATATTACATGCATGTGTTTCAAGAATAAGGTCAAATATGTAGTAGATTCAACACTTGCAGATGTGTTTACCTTTATATAAGTCTGGTGGGCGGGGCTTACGGGGGCTATTGTAAGTGGCCCCACCCCTGTCCCTACCATAGCACTCCTCCTGCTCCTCCCACTTGGCAAATTTTGTTCTTTATCTGGACAGAAATAGATATAATTTGTGTGTGCATAAATTAGACAGACAGACAGATAGATAGATCTATAAATTGTTGTCTGGTATTTAGCAATCTAGGTGTTGGTAAAGTGATTACTTACCGTTTGCTCTTTCCTGGCCAAAGTTATGATTATTTGGTGCCCATATACAAGGAAAAAGCCAAGACAACAAAGTGATAGCCAGCTTCACCACTGGAAAAGAAAGAGACTTTGGTGAAGCTCAGTAACACCTGACTGTGTGTCTGTAGAGAGAAAGACAGATTCATTACCCTCTTCCTGTGCGTCAGACAGTAATGTGACACCCTGAGGAGTGTCTTCAGGGTGGGGTTGAACAAGAAGGCGGCAAGTAGCCAGACTCCATCTACCAGTCCCTCTACAGATCCTCAACTTCTCCTCAATAACAGAGCACACCTGCATATCCAGAGAGAATAGCGCCTCTACATGCACAATCAAAAGACATCAGACATTAGGAACGAAAAAGTCGTGCACAGATGGATGATAGATGATTGGATGTTTACCTTGTAATTTCTGTATCTTCTTGACTTTGATTTCCCCCTCATTCTTCTTGGTCTGATCATCAGGAAGGCTATAACAAATATAAAAATACACAATTTAAAGTTTAGGATCGGTAGAGTTATTTGATGCATTTAAAGTCTCTTATACTCCTCAATGCTGGATTTATTTGATCAAAAATACAATAGTAAAAACAGTACTATTTTGAAATATTATTACAATTTTAAATAACGGTTTCCAATTTAATTAATTTATTTCTGTGAAGGCAAAGCAGAATTTTCAGCCGCCATTACTTGTTATAATCTAAAATCATTCTTGCTGTATATGAAAAACTCTAAGATTAATTCTAAGTCTAACACACCTTTCAGTGGCCTGCCTCAGCAGTGTCATCCACGTGTTGCGCTCCTCACAAGTCTGTGTGTGTATCTCATACATCTCCGGCCCCACAGAGTAATCGCCACTGATGAGAAATAATCCTTTCTCCTGATTGGCTATTTCTCTCACAATGAGTCTTCGCAAGGGCATCACTGATGGCTTCTGCTCCTGAAGTACAATATATATAAAACTGATTTTAACATTATATTTAAAGCATATTTTAGTATTGTAACCTTTTGGATTTTAATATGATATTAATAGCATTTTAATTTCTTGTAGGGTCTGAATGTATGATCCAAAGGGCCCCCAAAAAAAACAATATACTGTAATTTGTCGGCTATATTTCAGTACCAATGCGGCAAAGACGAACTTCTGCTCTTTCTCCTGTAGGAAAGCCAGAACATCTGTGAGGAGCAGTGCAAGGACATCTGTAAAAGAGAGAGAGAGACACTGGGAATAGATTTAAATAATATATGACTGAAGTAAAAAAGAAAGAAAACAAACTAGGGGTGGACCGTTATCGAATAATTCGGTATCAGCCGATAAAAGCAAAAACATCATTTGTAGCGCACCTCCAATCCAATAATCACAAAGAGCTTTGTTACTTCTGATAAGAAGTCTCAGCTTTTAAATTCTGTCCATTTAATCACGAAATTCAAACAATAAATGCCATTTTGACGTTCTTAAATGTGACGTGACAGATCGCTGTAGCTCCTTCAAGTGGCAGCAAGTCTTTTCTTCCACTTTAATACAAGTGGAAAAAACAAAAAAAAAAAAAAAAACTATCCATGAACATCACAAGCTATGTTGAAAGATTCAGTACAACTCACTGAAATGCATCATGTCTCATGTAATCGCTCAAGTGTCAACCGCATAAATTCACCAATAAAACAGCTTGTGAACAGTCATTTAACATTGCAGTCACCTCAGGAAAGTTATCCAGTGCTCACAGTTCACAGTTAGCTACAAAAAGCACTAGAGAATGGCTCATTTACTGTTAATTATATAAGTATGTTTGTATACGTTTGTCCTGAAGACAAGTGTTTAAGACAACTATCTTATGTACAACTGAGTTGAATTCAAACATTATTTCGGTGTAATTATTATATCTGAAAATAAATAGCAGTTAAATATTATTATAATAGTTATTTTACCCTTTAATATTATATAAATGTACCAAATAAGAAGTTTCACGTTTTTTCTTTAAGAAAATCAAACTATCGGGATCGGCAGGCAGATATCATTCTGATTAATCGGCTATCTAGGAGAAATTTAGTAGGCTACCTCTCAGTCTGCCAGAGGTGGTCCTACAAGTCAGCAATGAAGAGTGTGTGAGAGTTCGGTGTGTTTTCTGCAGGTCTTGCTTGCCGAAGATCTCCCCGTTCTTCAGGCGAGTGCAGCTCTTGTTGTCTAGGCGACTCAAGATGTCCTGTAGTTTCTTTGCATTCTCATAATCTCCCACATGCCGCTCCACCTCTTCTATCACCCGCCGCAGACCCTCCAGTGCCACGGCAATATCATAGCGCTCAGCACTGCCATCTACAGATCACAAAGGACACCATTCAGATCCCTTTTTTTTTATCAAATATCATGATTAATATCACGTTTTTTATCAATTGTATAATGTAATAGTGTTATTCATATGCATCTTTGATTTTCAGGTTTATATATTTATATGTCTTAGGCACATTTGTATTTTCATGTGAATAGAGTCTGACAACAGCCTGTATGATCCACACAGAGATCTGATCTCACCATCATTGAGTCTGTCTGTGATTGCATGAATCACAGAAAATTGTGGCAACATCTTCAAGACACTTGAAAAAACAATTTCTTTCTGTTTCTTCATGTAATCACAAACAGACTCGATGATGGTCAGATCAGATCATACACTCTAAAAAATGCTGGGTTGTTTTAACCCAATTTTGGGTCAAATATGGACAAACTCAAACATTGGGTTAAAAAATGTAATTTTGTAACCCAATGGCTGGGTTTGTCCATATTTGACCCAAAATTGGGTTAAAACAACCCAGCATTTTTAAGAGTGTACCGCCTGTTGTTGGTAATTATGTCAATGGTTAACTAATTTATCAAAAGTAATAATTATTCATATTTAACTGAGTATTGCATATTATGAACTTACCATCGGTGTGTTGAAGGAGTCTCTCTACCAGAACAGGGTACTTTGTAATTCTCTGGGTAACAAGCAAAAGGAATTCTGGGATTTCACGACGCTTGACGACAGAGTTGGAACTCAGCTGCTGTAGAGGCAACACATACGGTCATCAACATAAAAACTCAAACTGTTTCGTATGAGTGTGTTCGTGTGTGTTTAATCAACTTACTCTGAGAAATAACTGTAGTTTCCTGTTGCTCTGTAGTTGTTGCTTATACACTTTCAGTGCTTCTGGGTGACGACTGCAGAAATCGCCGTACAACTCTATCATCTGAGAAGCATTTGGGCCTGAGAACTACACACACAATTGCTAAATGAACCAAAGGTAAGAGCTAAACTTGTGCAGCCACAATAAGTAAATTGGTCAAGTCTACGTACTGTATGTTTAGGTTCTTACTTGCCTGTCGACGCAGGATATCACCAATTTGCAGGATGATGTAGTTCTTGTGTTTTCCCAGGTGAACAGACACCCTCTGTCTGGTCTCCATGTCTATGAGAAAGTTTCTATGCAAAACCAAGAGCTCATCCACTCTGGGAAAAATCTGACCAATCGTGTCCTGCTCCAGCTGCACTTCCTCCAACATCCCCGCCCTTAAAACATCCGCCATAACGGAGAGAGTCTGGACATGGTGAAACTCTGTCTGCATCAGCTCTGCGACAAAACACAAAACTCACCAATCAAATTAGGCTTAACTAAAGACATTTTTAGACAACAGTGTATTTCATATTATCAAAAAAAATCAATTAAGTATAAAAGGCAATATACTAAAACAGCGTTACTGACCATAGATGATCTCCTGCCTCTTGACCACATCTTTGTCCAGTGTCCGACTGAATTCAGTGTCCACAACAGCGCTCCAAGATTCAGCAGAGAAGTCAAATGATACGTGAGCTGACGAGTCATCAGAATCTGGCAAAGAGATGGTTAAACATACTGTAAAAGTGACTTATTGTTTGTGTAATTTGGAAAAACTATAGTTCCACCAATAAGACTAGTCAAACATCACTAGTTTCTATAGACCTTATGCGCCAGAGAAACAAGCTCGCAGACATCTATAGAACTGTGTCTTTGTACTTAACGGTAGCTCAGTATATTTCTAATGCATCGCTGACAGAGAGTAATTAGCTGGTGAAGTGGATTTACTAATTGTACAGTTAACGGAAGTTATCATGAGCATTGTAATGTTTGAAGCTGATGTCATAACAAATCTGACAGTAGGCCGGAAAGATTTTAAAACGAGCGGTTCGTTCACAAGATCTTACCTTCGTGCAGTGGATAGAAAAGGGGTGGGGCTACATAAGGTCTACACTTCACAAAACTTCACACACAACTTTTATGCTGATATTTCTTCATTTTTGTAATTAAAATCATAACAAAACATTTTCATAAATAAAACAAACTTTTTCACTTAAATAAAAAACGTTAAATGAAATAAAATAGGACAATTTTATTTCAGCTAGTTGCTAAGTGTTTTTATTTTTTCACTTAAGTTTATGTATTAAAATAACTAAATGAATAAAAATTATATAGACATATATTTTTAAAAAGTTAAAGTTTAAAAAAAAAAGTTAAAAAAAAAAAAGAACTTTATCTTATATAAAAAATATTTGTCAATTTTTGGGTGAGCTATCCCTTTAATAATCCTAAAATAACACTTCTTAACATTCCAGTCCCCATTTAGTTTCATTGTATGGAAACAATCAGCAGGAAATTCTGGAGCTTTTGAGTTCCACAGAAGAAAGAAGGCGTGTTTGACTTAAATCGCTGCACAGACCGACTGTTGTATGACAGCAATGTACCGCAAGAGCGATTAGATTAGAGAGACGGCTCTATATGGTTTCAGATAATTTGATGTCACACAACGAACGGTCTGCGCAGCGCTGCTTCAAGTCGAACACACCTATTAACTCACTGGAGGTGGGGCTTCCTGAAGAATGACCAATCAAAGACTTGCTTTTCCACAGAGCGAAGTCATGGCCACACCCCTCACTGTTACTCCGCTTTCTGACACAGAAACATACAAAGCATCTCAAAAATGTAAACATTAGTGACATAAATTCAAATGAAGTTTGTGGAAAACACTCTATACAGACCTGTGTGACACAGTGTTGTTGTCATTGACCAGAGACAGAGATGGAGAACTGTGACTGGACGAGTCTGTTAATGAAACACACATGATCACATGAGCACTATATGACATGGCTGGTTCCATTATAATTCCAGAGTAACATGACTGGCTCTCTCACATAGTAAAATTGAAGAGTCACCGCATTTCAGATGTGCCTGATGAGGATTCTGGGTTATAGAAATAAATGCAATTACAATCTTTCAAATGAATATAGTTTCAAGTACTTTTACACACACTCACACTCACTCACCTTTAAACACTGAGGGGCAGAACCACAGCAGGTCTTATGAATGATCATGGAGCAGTCTTTACAGGAAGTGACATCATGAAGTCAGTGTAGAATTTTGGTACAGCAAATATTTGTGCAAAAATTGTCAAAAATACATGTCGTTAAAAGAAAAACACACGTACATGTACACTGCTGTGGTTCGTCATTGTCAGCTCCCTCGCAGACTTCACAAGCTGCTTTAACAGGCAGCTTCGGCGGGCAGAGCTGATGCAAGGCTGAGGAAACCTCTGCGTTCATCTGGAAACAAACAGTTTTTTTTTTCATAAGGATATACATACATAGTGTCTAGTCTTAAAAATCACCATTAATCATATCATCTCTTGATAAGTTTTTTTTTTCACTGAGATTTGAAAATGCATGGACCAAAATATTTTTGAAACATATTATAAATATTTGTTGTATACAACCAGACTAAATAACATATTCTGTTATATTTTGTTCAATTTGCTAAATAAACTTAATTGACAATATAAAAATCCAATATATATATATATATATATTATATATATATATATATATATACACTGCATACAAACTCACTCTCTCACACGCACATGCACACACACACATATATATATATATATATATATATATATATATATATGTGTGTGTGTACATATATCAAAATTATATGTCATTTTCCCTCAAATTTTCTGATATTTTGTGACAAAATATCAAATGTTATACTTTCTCTGTATGCGTTTTATTCCATTTAACTTTTACTGTCTTTCTTTCTCTCACCTTGCTTTTTATTTTGGTGTTGACCATCCGGCTCCTGAGGAAGCTTAGAGTTCGACTCACTTTATATTTCTCTGTATCACTTTTGGATGTAGGGATGAATTTCTCTTTCTCTTCTTCCTCTGAATTGCTACACCACATACTGGGAGTTTGGAAATAAATAGTGAAACATACTTAAGCTTCTTATGTGTGTGTGTGTGTGTGTGTGTGTGTGTGTGTGTGTGTGTGTGTGTGTGAGAGAGAGAGAGAGATCAAATACCTTCTGATCTCTGTGGATGTTTCGACATCATTGAATGGGAATGGCTCTAGGAACATAAAACAACTGAACATACTTGCAAACTACTTGTACACTTTATTTTGCACGTCTCAATCTATTTTGAACACACTAGTAGAGATACATATAAGAAAAAAACACAAACACACCGTCCTGTGAACTACAGATGGGTAATATGTCTTGGATTGGGGAGTCTTGTTCAGATGCTGTTGAGTCTGATTCAAACCCAAATGAGCCAAATGAGTCCTGATGGTACATTGTCTGACGAAAAATACATTTCTTAGTAAATTTTCTTGCATCCACCACGATAAAAGCCTTTATGGATAAATCTTCACCTCACCTGATTCTCTCCAGCCTGCAGGGTGTTGATGCTGGTCGTAATGGTAACGCTGGAGTCAGTGAGCGAACTGGTCGTTGAATCAGTATGCGTTGTGAGTCCATCTACAAAAACACGGACTTTGAAATCAAGATACAAGAGCATCCAGCTTTAGATATCAGATAATCAATTAATAATCAAAATTTAGGACTGGAGGTTCACCGAAGTATCAAGTCAACTCTGTTGGCCAGATGTTCATGTTTGTGGTCATTATAGGTCTAATCATTTCATTATTGCCTTTGTAAAACTATAAAGGGTAAAAAATATCAACTTAATTCCAAAAAGTGCTTTACTGAGTTTTATGTAACGTTGACCTAACTTCAGAAGGAATTTCAGAGGGAACTACAAATGACTTTGAGTTGACACACTTTTGTCAGTGAAGGACTATGTGTCTTATTTTTAAAACATGTTAAGGTTCTACTTTTGAAAGGAAGATAAACATTATCATTACAATAGCCAAATATTTATTTATCGTTGACTAACTGATATAAACATCCTCATTCTCATTATATAAAGGCATGGGGCTGCAGTCTCATTATAAAGGCGGACTGTACAGAAACAAACACTTACCAGACTCGTCCGACGATAAGAGCTCTTCATCTTCATCCTGACTGGTGTTGTTAACCCACACCTGACAGAAAAGCAGGAAAGTGAAATGAAAGAAAACAACGGAGTAACGAAAAAAGCCAAAATGACAATAGAATTAGTCAACAGTTTGGGGAAATTAGCTTCAATATTTCAGTAAATAAATACACATCCCATTAACGTGGTGAGGTTATTGTATGTTATTGAATAAGGAGCACAACGATGACAATGACATGACGTGCTACACCGCTATTTCCCCTGACAAATTTCAACATTCAAGCGTAACAGTCGTGTCGCATTTTTTTCCGGCTGTTTAGTATCGATGCACATTCGTGTATAAATTGAAGTGAACATGAAGTCTGTTCTTTTTTACTGACCTGATCACGATAACAAAAATAGTCGGAATTCCGTCTTAATCGGATTGTTCACTTTTAAGCGCGAAATCGTTTGCGGCGGTTTCGTTGATCCGGCTGAATTATCTCACAGAAATTCATGGAATTTAGGCCAACTAAAGTGAAGTAGGCTACTGTTTTCTTGAGGGTCCTATTTTTTTATTTTTTTAGAAACACTTTTAAAAAATTGTGGGAAATGTTATTGTTCATTATTAGAAAGTTTTGTGATGGAATTATTTGAATAGAATCGTCTGGAGTGACTATAACTTTCACTAAAGACTAGATGGGAATTTACAATAAGGTTTCGAACTTATAGGCTACAGTATTTATTTATCTACTTGTTAATCTCAGCATACCCCTTTTTAATAATAGAAATTACATCTGTTAACATTATTTAATGCACTGTGAACAAACGTGAACAGTAACATTTTTATAACATTAAAAGCTTATTAAGCTGTAAGAATATATTTCTCATTGTTGTATTCACTGTTGGTACATGTTAACACTGTAAAGTGCAACCACTAACTGTCATCTAGCATTTTTCTGTTGAGCAGTAATAGCTTTTCTTTAGGCTAAAGATATCCCAACATAATCTGTCACAGCCACTTACATTGTGAAGCAGAGAGTATGGTGATTCTTTTTTTAGGTGTGCATGAAAATGGAAGAAAAAGAGAGAAAAAACTGCAAATGTATCGCTACTATACATTTATCAGGTACTTGTGAATATAATTTCCATAATCAAAGGAGAAACACTAACCCGAGTATGAAAGCAGAGTGTTGCTTTCAGCTCTTCTCTTTGTATCCACACTCAGACCTTTGATCTGAGATTGTACAAGCACAAAAATGCAAACATCTTCAAAGCTGAACTGATTCCAATCCGAAACACTCAATTAAATTTCATTTTAATTCAAAGCAAATATGTAATATCAGTGTGACCTTTAACCTCTGTTATCTGACCTTGTTTAGTAGCACAGAGTCCCTCGCACACTCTCGCAGCAGTAATATGGATGACTGTAAGGTTTGTGAAGAACAAGAGGACTCGGATACACACACAGACAGAGACAGCATCCCAGAGGCGTGGCTAAACCTGAGGAGGTGGGATTTACCCACCCACACATGTGACACGCCCGCCAGGGGAGTGGTTAATGGATTGGGAGGGCTGAAAGAGAAAGAGAAGTATAAAATGAGTTATTATTCTTACTTATGAATCTGTCTTCTGAATCTATATAAGAGCTTTGTGTGAGAAAACAAAACAAAATGTACGTCTTATTTTGTGAAAATCAGTGAATAATGACTTGTATTTCATCTTTTTGTCTCACATATCAGAAAATAAATATATTTTTAGATTCTATTTTTGGGCGTTTTTGCCTTTATTTAGATAGTACAGTTGGAGAAAGGACAGAAAGCGAAGTGGGAGAGAGAGGTGTGGGAACGGGAGAGGACCAGGAGGCCGGGACTCACACTCGGGTCGCCCATAGCGAAATTAAAGATTAAATATGAAATATAGCACTTAGGTTAATACAAACACATGGATGGGTACAAGGATCCACATAATAAGGATACATTACTGCTTGAAGAGTTGTATCAGAGCATGTTGATTGGTCCGTTGGGCCAGCTGAAGGGGCGTGTCCCCATCCTGATTGGCTGAACCGATAGTCATCAGGGCACCAGGCTGACAGAGAATGAACTCAGAGACGCTCACAAATCCCAGACGCACACATACATGTAGGAGAGACTCTATGTGCACACAAACATAACAATTTATAAATAAATTGCATGTTTAGTCAATTAATAAATGCATTATAATACGTCTTATTTTTCCACTATGTGTTTCCCACTTTGTTTGTCTGTGAAACTTAGTCAGTGACAGTTTACTTTGGACATCCTCATTTGTGGTCACCACGGTGACCTCTAATCCAATTAGAACTCTGCATTTATAATTCCACTGCTCATCTCCGGACATTTGTGTCATTTGGATGTGAAGCAGGAACAGTGAAATCTGATTACACACACACATCCATACAATACACGGAAGCAGGTGCTGCACTTGCCTTGGCCATTATGCCCACACACACACACAATAAAGTTCAAACACACATATATAACACAAGCACACACCTTGTGCTGATTGTCCGAGCAGGTTGTGAGGGGTGTGTAGGTTGGCTAGAGCGAATGTGACCCTTTCATCCATCTCTGCCTGTGTAGAGCTGTCTTTCAAACCATATCGATCACTCAGATCTCTGTGCTCAGTGGTGCTGAGGCAGTCGCTATGGGTAAGCAGGTATTCAGCCAGCTCCTGTGCATCATCCTCCATGAATGTCAGAGAAGACACACCCACACACACCACGGCATCATCTGTAAATATATACGCTCGGACACGCACCATCTCAGACTGGTTGTGGCCTATTAAACACAAACAACACACAGAGAACACTTACTGCAAGCACAAATAATCAGTATCTTGCAGTGTGGGAGAAGTAAATTAGGAAAAAAAACATTTATAATTTATATAACAATAATCCAATCTAATATTATATTATATTATTTCTTTGTTATGGTACAGTCCTATGTAGGACAAGCAGTTTGGATATTATATTATATTATATTATTAACATTATATTATATAAATCATAACATGGTGGCTGGTATAATGATGCGCTCGACAAAGGAAATTATAAGAAATACACAGTCTAAAAATAAATACATATATACATATACATGTAAATAAATACATATACAGAAAACTCAGGAGAATAAGAACCACATGAACACAAACCATAACCGACAAAACTGAAAAGGGAGTATATATGCACGGGATAATCAGGAAATAATACGATACAGCTGATGATAATCACAGGAACAAACAAAAAAATAACCGAACCTAAACAGAGCAGGGAAACATGAACTAAAGGAAACAGAACAGATTTCTAAAATAAGAGTCTATAATCGTGACATTTTTGTACATTTAATTTACTTTTTATTTTATTCACCTGGGACAATGAAGTACAGCATGGAGTGAACTCTAGTTTGCAGAACGTGTAGTAGAGTTGAGCCCTCCAGAACCACAAACACCTCCTCCTCCTGAACTGAGGGGATCAGTGCAAAAACCTTTGCTTGGCCCTAACACACATGCACAACATTTCCTACATAAATAGTGTAGTTCTTCTATATATTTCACTGCAGCCCTGCATAGCAATTATTGTGCTAAAATCACATTTAGCAATATTGTCATCTTAAAAACACAAAGACAGAGAAGGTGACAGAAAAACAATGTTACTCACATAAACAGGAACCTCTCGTCTGCTTAGCTTCATTGCTTGAAATTACAGAAACCTTCAAGAAATCAATAGAAATGTATTAATTAACCAATAAATAAATAAATAAATAAACATTCATCCTTGTAATGTCAATTGATGAAATTACCCACAAGACGAGGCTTGAATTCTGCACTCTCAGCCGCAAGCTGAAAACTGAGAGAGAATGGGGAGGAGTGAGTGAAGAACAACAAGGATGGGGAGGAAAAGATTAATGAGACAGAAAACAGGGACAAGAGAGATGAATGACAGGCAGAAAGGATTGATCAGTAAATGATGATCATATTTAATAATTGCTGCCCATATGCTTTTGTCAGTCAGTCTGTCTATCTGTCTATCTGTCTATCTATCTATCTATCTATCTATCTATCTATCTATCTATCTATCTATCTATCTATCTATCTATCTATCTATCTATCTATCTATCTATCTATCTATCTATCTTGTCCGAGTTGAGTCTCAAGATACTAGTATCTATCTATCTATCTATCTATCTATCTATCTATCTATCTATCTATATATCTATCTATCTATCTATCTATCTATCTATCTATCTATCTATCTATCTATCTATCTATCTATCTATCTATCTATCTATCTATCTATCTATCTATCTATCTATCTATCTATCTATCTATCTATCTATCTATCTATCTATCTATCTATCTATCTATCTATCTATCTATCTTGTCCGAGTTGAGTCTCAAGATACTAGTTTCTATACTAGTGTCTGCCAGTTTTGTTTTGTTTTTTTTACGTTCAGCGCCATCTTTTGGACAGCACGATCCTAGAAAAGTTTTCTGTAGGCTAATCCACTTTTGTCCACAAGAGGCCACCAGCAGTATATTGATCACACGATTCCTCTGTCAGGCTAAACCTATGGGCTAAATGAAAAATGTAGTTTTATGAGGGGTTTTCCCATTTTATCTCATAAAACTTTCTCATGGAAAAATATCATTCAATGATTGCATGTGTAAATATGAAGAGTTCAGATGCAAAAGCTTCTAAATGCCATTTGAAATTTTCTTCTTTAATGATGATTTTTATCAAACTTGTATATTTAAGTTCAGTAATTTCACTTAAATAACAATTAATAGGTAATTATCATTGCCATTTAAGTGAAATTACTGAACTTAAATATACAAGCTTGATAAAAATGATCATTCTAGAAGAAAATTTCAAATGGCACTTAGAGGCTTTTGCATCTGAACTCTTCATATACATATGAGCAGTAGGCCTACATTGGATAGACGTAGCAAAGCAAGTGAGAAAAAAGAAATAATAGCCAATAAAAGGTAGCAATAAAAAATGAACGTAAAATGTACATCAGCTGTTTAGTTTTTCCAGTGGACTGGAAGAGAGAGCTATGGCAGTGCATGCTGGGACTGAAAGAAGTCTTTGAGCTGTGAACTTTCCCCCACTTATCCAAACAACCCAGTCCCAGAAAACCCGCAGTCTGAGAGTGCTACATATGCTGACCTCTATAGTACCGCACACGAACACACGAATGCAAACACACATACACACGTAGCCTATGCTCTGTTTCTGTTTACCTCACCCCCCCCCCCCCTCCCCACATTCTCTGTTTTCATGTCCGCCATATTGAGTGGGTTGCAGAATTGTTTGGGAAAAAAAGTCAACAACAAGTAAAGTGGAGGTTTGCAGAGATTCCTGAGTGTTTTTTCCTCATCTAAAATCACATGCAGGGGCTTAAACATTCCTGGCTATACAGTGAGAAATGAATTCTCGCTCCCCCTCTCTCTTTACAGCTTTACCTTCTGCATTCTCATGCCAAACTTGATATTTTCTATTCCTAGTTATTTTCAGTAAAACTCTCTCTCCGCCACCTTCTATCTTTTTTTTAATGTTTCAAGGAAGCCAGATTTCCAGGAATTTCTGCAGTCCCGGCCGCTTGTTTTTAAAATCCTTGCCCAATCGTATCACTCACATAATTCCTAATCCTGTGACATGTTTAAAGAATCTAAATGAAAAGTTACGTAAAATATTTAGACTAAGCTCTGGGATTAGGATATGCACAGTAAACATTCCGTTCGCCATAATTTGTATCGTCCGGCCTCCCTGGAAGCTTCCCTTCTGTGCGTGCAGCAAGGAATTTAAGACTGTTGTCAATGAATTTTAAAGGGATTTGTCTTTATCACAAAAAGTGAAGTAGGCCTACTCCAGGAGTGGAGTCATTAGTGTCTATCATACACATGTGTTAAAAAATAGCCCATTTCATTTAACTGTGTGTGTGTGTGTCCTAATAAACCCTACATTATGGGGACAAAATGGGAAAAAAAATGTTGGTCCCCATGAGGAAAACAGGTTATACATCATACATGGGGTTTTTTTTCATCAAAAAAGGCAAAAAGTTTACTGTGATGGGTAGGTTTGGTGTAGGGGGATGGAAAATACAGTTCGTATAGTATAACCATTGTTTTGTCTATGAAATTTCGCCATAAATCACGAAAACAACATGTGTGTGTGTGTGCACGTAAAATATAAACAAAATTAATTATATTATATTTGGATAATAATATAATGACAATTTTAATTGAGAATTTCCAACCCTTTTATAGGTACACTATGTAACTAGTGGTTTAAAAAACAGCATGCATTTTGCAGAAGAACATTGTTTTGGTTGTGCTTGACTGTGCTGATGAGTATATTTCTCAAAAAGAAAGTGAGATTATCCGACTGCTCATAAAACTTTGACTAGGCTTAGATTTATGGCTTTGATTTTATAGTAATTTTAGAGTCAAAAATATTTTGTAAAATATATATTTTATATAAAAATAAAAATATAAAGTACAGTATATTTGATTTATTGTAAATTTAAACTTTCATAACTTTTTCATACTTTCATTTTTTTAAGTGTTTTCACTTCAGCAATAATCTTCTGAGTGTTTACTTTAACACAAGACCAAATTTGGGTCTATATTCCAAAACATTCTTGAATTATAATCATTTAAGTTTGAATAGTGCATTTTAACCCCCATTTTCAAAAAGAGGGGTGACAGTGAAGGGGTTAAGAGATATAACCAATTTTTAGATGGAGAGGATGTAAAGCTGATTTTCTGAAGATTTTACTGTAACTTAATCCATCAATAGACACGATACTTCCTTAAAAATAAACTCCAGCACAGCTCTACAACAAAGATAATGAAATGACCCTTAACAATAGATGATGCTTCACAATCAACTCTGTTAGAGAGCTACATATGGCAATTTATCTGTTCACTAAAATACCTTATTAATCTAAGTAAATAAAAACACCATCTCCGCATCACTTTTACAACATTTAAATCCCTAGTTTTCGCCATCTCTGAAAAGCCAAACTAATGTTGATTCTTGTTTTATTACAAGCTCTGTCACGTTGTCTTTTTGCCAGCAGACTCTCCTCTGCTGATTCCCCGGAGGTTTGAGATTTAGCGGCTCCCTGTCAATCTTTCTCACTCGTTGTAACAACTAACCTCTGACACTCACACACCATACACAACTCAAAGCAGCCGGAGCAACTTTTCTCTATTGACGGATATGACGAGACACACACAGGCGAGTATTCCTCAGTCATTGAGGGGAAGCACAAGTTTTCCTATTTTTAGGAGTTGTTTAAAAGTATGGTTGAGGGACACACAAATATGTGAGCATGTTTAGTAATCAGAAGTTTACATATCTGATGTAAAATAGAGTTAGTGTTTTATAAAACTAAAGAGGATAGAATTATTAGTGTGAAATGGGTTGTGTAATAGGAGTTAGGATAGCGTGGTGTAAAAGGGGTCTGTGCAATATGGCTTGTCCTAATATGCTGTGATCACTGTTATTGTCCTTGCTTCTCTGTATATAGCCTGTGCATAGTGTGTCTGTTATTATTTGTGTAAAATCTACCTGCTTGGAGATCTGCAGATGGAAATTAGCCTATGGCTATAATCTGGCATATTTACATTTGTGAAAAATGTTCATTAATATGTATTGTCCCTTTTGTCTTTTTCTACAAATAAAATAAAATAAATAAATAAAATAAAATGTTCACAATTTCCTACGAAAACCATCGCGCCATGTCTAAAATATAAACAGTTATTAATGGCTTACTATAGTGTATTAGGTTTGAAAAAAGGATTGATGATGTCTTGAGTCGTTATTCACATCTTTAAAGCGTGTATTAAACAATGTGATTTAATAAAGACATTATTTGGATTTATATGACCCTTATAATTTTGGCAAATTTTGAATTGATGGCTAAACTAAACAGAAAAAAATTATAAACACCTAGAAAGTGATCATACATTAGTCAAAACATAAAAAAGCACTCTGGAATACACAAAAGAGTGAAAGAATAGGGGGTGTTAGATTTGATTGAGGAGTTTGATTTACTGTTTAAGTGGGTTTAAGTCTGATTTAATCTAACTATGTTTAGGTGTTATCATAGGAAGTAATGAGGTTATCAGAGCTGAAATGCTTGTTTAACAGGCTCTCCCACTGTCTCTGTATCTAAACATGAAACACAGAGGAAAAAGCTTTCAGATCCTTCATCTGATAGAGCAGACACTAAGTTAGTTTGCGTTAAAACTGGAAAATTAGGCTCAGTAAACAGCAAGCATTGGCAGGCATGCAGGGTCATGTTCACATGAATACAGCACTACAGTCAAAACTTTGTGGAAATGAGCTTGAATAGAAAAATACCTGTGACCTTAGGCAGAAAATGAACCATTGCTAGAATACAAGCAGAGATATTTTCACAAACACACAAAGGTGGCTTCCTAAACAGCCCTTCACAGAATAGGAGGAAATGGGTGGCAGTCCCGCTGTTGCAGGATTACATCCCGTTTAAAGCACCGCACACACACACACCAGAATAAAGTAAAATTATAATAGTGTATATTATTCTCATTAAATCAAATATCTAAAATTTGTCTAGTTATTTACTTCAATTATTTAAAAAAAAAAGTCTGTGTGCTGTTATAAATGAGCAAACATGATGCAACTGTCTCAAAAAAGTTTCTGATTTAGATTTTCTGGGGAATTGGAGCAACAGACAATGTAATATGGGAACAGATGTGCGTGTGTGATGCATGTAAAATCAACTGATACGATTCCTAAGTGTGTTGCATAAAACTAGATTGTCTCAGGAAGTTCACACCAACACCATTTGGCCATTGCTAAGATACACCACTGTGAGTGTGACCACAAGGCTGATCAGTCAGCTCTCCGATTGGTTTAGTTCTCTCTCTTGATGACATCACGTTGTTGCCGGGTGAAATTGAACTCTGGTGGCAGGAAGAAAAAAGACAACTAAGTTTGGGGCTTTTTTTCAACCAAGCTCCATGCAGATTTTTTCGGCTCAAGGGTTTAAAGTTTAAGGATGGCCACGGAATTTGCTGACTAAATGCTACAATGCTGCTGACATGTCCTGCTTTTTAAAAAATCCCTGCCTTTTTTAAGTAGAAACCTTAAGTTTAGTGACATTTTGCAATCTGTCTGAACAACAGAACGTCACAGCATGAACAAGTTTATGTAGGTCGGCATTCATTTCATCTGAACTCTGCAACATCAGTCTGAGATCATCGGAATGTTTTTAGTAGCACCCCGTGGGCCGCCTTCGTGAACCTATGGGTGAAAATCCTGCGGGGTCTGGCTCCCGTCCACTCCGTCTGATCATGGCCATTCCGCTCTGTCAGCAATTCCCAACTCTATTCAAGGCTCCTGTACGCATGCACTGTAAAAAGACAATTGTTGAGTTGTGCACTCTAGACAATGATTGTCTTGAATTGTTTGAACAACCATTTTTATTTTTCCTAGAAAATAAAAGCAGTAAATTCATTTAGAGTGAGAGATACATTTTATTAGAAAAAAGACAGTGAAATCTAATCAGACGTACTCCCGATGCAATAAACCGTTTTATTAGAAGTTGTATGAGCCATTGATCTCAGCAGAGATATTTCATTGGGAGCTGTTAAGTCCTAAAATGTCCACCCCCTGCCTTCATAACAATTGAATGGATTTAACACGAGGCGATACTGTGCGAGAAAAAAACATACAAGGCCTTTCTCAGAATGTCTTAAAATTTTTGATATGCATTATGCAGCACACTTGAACTGAAGGGTAACATGTCTGGACAAGAGAGGAAAAGTTGGAGGGGGGAGTGGCTCATGAATACTTTGGGGAAGTCCGATTCTTTTTATAGAGAATCTTTCGGTTCAATGAACCAAATCTTTTGAATCATCTCAGTCTGAAGAGGTTAAAGAGTTCATACGTTTTGTTTTTTTCATATTGCAGCTGGCCGCGGTAAACAATAACGATTTGGACTCTGTAATAATGTGATAAATAATGACATTAAGCTATGTATTGTTGTCGATGTGCCTTAGCTACAATCCATGATGAATTGGTTAACTTCTCACGCGATTAATCTTCGCATTAAAGTCAAGAAATGGTATTTTTATTCTAACATTAGCGATAAAGTAATAATATTAATGAGTAGTAATATTAATATGAATTACTCTCTATAATGATAGCATTTTTTCCACATCTCACAGCTTATCCTAAGTCGTCGGTTATAAGTGATCCACAAGCGCGATACGAATCGGTTCACAAGAACGATTCACCCGGGAGCCGAAGTGAAAGAGGCCAGCTGAGGGGGGCGTGTAGTGCACGTTCATGCTGAAGTTGGACACTTGGAGGCTTTGCGCACTGCGAAGGGAGATACGAAGGGATACGGAGGGGTCTCCAGTCCTCCTTCAGGTCTCGATCGCCCATAGAGGAGCTGGCAGCGAACATGCCCAGACCAGTCCATCGTCACTGACATCGGGATTCAGCTCTTCGCCTGGTTTAAGCTTGCCAGAATGAACGAAAACGCAGATATCTGCAACCACTGTCGGAACATGATCAGAGAGAAGGTAACGTTGTTCTCCTCCGTGTGTCTAAAACTGTTTTTCTGCATCCGTTTCGGCTTATTGTGTTATTGAAACATTAATGCATTTGATCCCGATGTTGATCTTGGTGATAAAGCTGCATTGGGTTGTGCATGAGTGGCCTATTACACATTTCTCATATCTCTGGCGACCCCAGAGATTAACCTACACCTTTAAATAACTAGTAACGTTATAGGCCTATATATTTTATTATACATTTCATTAAACTAGTAGATGTTATGTTAATATAGCCTATAGGCTGTAGTTGGATAAGCCGTTTTTTCAATAATTACAAATATATGTAGTATGTTTTTCAGTGTCTGAGTATACACACACACACACACACACACACACATATATACAGTGTATATATATATATATATATACTGTATGTATGTGTGTGTGTGAAAATAATTGATTTTCGCAACATACTGACAGGTTTAAATAGTTAAAATTGTATGCATTTCTTCACATTTAGATTGGATCACAGGCCGACTAACTAGTGACCTACTCAACTCCTCTCTCTCTCTCTCTCTCTCTCTCTCCCTCTCTCCCTCTCTCCCCAACCCCCCCCCCCCCCCTCTCTCTCTCTCTTTTCTTTGGCTGGAAGATGTTATTTTTAGCTTTCATAAATCATGTTGAACACATGTGACCTACTTCTGCTCTGCACATCTTCTCACACACACCCTGCAAAAAGTTTGTTGCAAGTCAAACTGGACTTTAATACAGAAACACGAGCTGGCATTTATCAGATTGAACTATTGGCAGAAGGCTTGCAAACTGTTTGTTTGATTTTCCTCTCTCTTGCAGCAGGGAGCGAATGGCTATCCTGTGCGGCTGTATGCAAACCTGTATTTTGAGTGCATGACAATGTGTGTGTGTGTTTGGAGAACTCTTGTTATATGAGAAAGGTTTGAGGGATTTGTGGTTACTTTGTCATGTCGACAAGGTTCTTCATTCTGGGTGTGAGTGGTAACTCTCATCAGCAAATAGGTAGTCTCTTCTCACCTGATGCTCTAGCTGGTTGGGAACATTCAGTTCAAACTCATCTCTGTCTTGCCTTGCAGATTAGAGCCAAATTAGAACCAATTATTTCCGATTAGAAAAACTTTTAAAGTTCCACAAAGAACCTTTTATTCTCTAGTTCTTTTATGTATTGTTGCATTAAAGGAATAGTTCACCTAAAAATGAAACTTCTGTCAACATTTACTCATCCTGTGTGTTCTACAAAATGTTTGAAATGGCATGAGAAAATTATGACAGCATTTTCATTTTTGGTTGCTCCCTTTAAAGCTACACTGTGTAACTCTTTTAGTTTATTCTTAGCTAAAAACACTTAGTTCTTTCAAAAAATATATGTGCTCATTAATGTATATTTACTTTGTTCAAGTAATAAAGTATTCTCGTGAGTGTATAATATGCCATTGAAAATACATACGGGTAAGGGGTTCTAATGTCGGTCGCCATGTTGCCCCTCCATCTTGAAAGTACATTAGCCAAAGAGGGACATACCCGTTAATTCAAGCGAGAATTTTTAATTAAAGTATATCACAAATTTTTCTTTTAAACCCTAAAGAATCAAATTAACTTGTATGAAAATGGCATTATATTACCACTTTAAAGAACCCAGAAATCATCTGAACTGAAGAATAATGTTCTAACACTTTCACAAACACTTTCTAAACATGCTTTGTAATTTTATAAGCCACTCAAGAATCATACTACTGACTGATACTTTTCTCTGGTTATCACTCAATCCTATCACCTGTGTTGGTTCTGTCTTTATTTCTATTTGCTGTCACGCGCTTCAGAGAACGAGCAACAATGGCTCTACTGTGGATTCTGAACGGTGACAGAACAGACTTGCTTTGATGCAACCAGTTTTTTATGTCAATGTTTTCTTGCTTGCAAGAGAGAGACGGACAGAAGCTCCGTATAAATTGTGCACTGCAGCCAAACTGAGTTTTGCTGATTCAGCATCTGACACACTTCCTGTTCCTCCAGCTGGCGTGTGCGCTGGTGTGACATAATTGAGCAATGAATCGTACTACCCCATTACCACATAGTGACCCGCCGTCGGGAAGAGCATCAGTGCATGTACGTCCTGCAGTCGTGTTTGAGCAGCGATCTGTGGGTAGACATCGCCATGAGAACTACAAATACTCAAACCACTAATTGAATGAGGTGCCGGCCGGGGACATTTGTCATGGTGCCACTAGGCGTCTGCTCAAGCAAAACTAAAACCTGTGCATTCTTGCCAGTGTTGCATAATCTTTTATGAGTTTAATGGCATCATTCAAGGGCCACAGATGCTGATGCAATTAAGTGATCACCAGGGAGAGGATCCACATGAGATAAAGAAAGGTTATGTCACAAAAAGTACTAAAAAAACAAACACTTTTAATGTTTAAAAAATTTATATTTGCTTTTATTTACAGAGCATTTTTATTAATTTAGTTTATTTCATGTGCAAGCAAGAGGCGTACAATAATGCACAATAATTTTATAGTAATGTAATTAATTTGACCTGTAACTGATTTTGGCATGTAACTCGCACCATTTGTGCTTCATGATGATGAGACCAAATTGTGCAGAGTATTGAGAGTGCAATTTCAGTATTATTTATATACTATTAAAGTATCTATTAATTATAAATAAATTAGGTTATAAATGATTTAATTAATTACTATTAATTTTTTTGTTTTCATATGAATTTTAGCTTTTGCCATTTTTATTATTTTTAAATAAATATATTTTTATTTAGCTTTAATTTGTTTTTGGTTTTTTTCGTTTTAGTTTCAGTAATTTTAGTATTTCATTTACATATTTTATAGTATTTCATTTACTTATATTTACAAAATTCGAACATTCATCTAATATTTACAGTATATTTTAATTTTATTTCCGTAACAAAGACGGTTTTACTGGTTTAATCTAAAACACATTTTGAATGCTCTATTATCATTATCCTCAATTCAATGAATTAATCCTTGATCTTACCATGCTAAGAACTGGATAAAGTAATCCCCAGTAAACCGCTCCATAATAACCCCCCGTTCTCTCCTCATTACATCCTGTTAAAAACTTCACTGGAGATCAAACCTAATCCTAATCCTCGCTGAGACGCTGAATATTTGTTAACATCTCTCTCTCTCTCTCCCATATTTTATACAGTTTATTTCTCTCTCTTCAAACTCAATCAGGGTAGGCCTCATTTGTTTAAACTGAGCACAAAGCAGACTTATGTAAGTACTGTATTGGTGTGTTTAGGTGTGCTTTTTTTTCTACACATACCCATGCTGTCATAGAGACAAAGATTTCTGCACTTTCCCCCAGAACATTGAACACACAATCAGGCTCTGACAGACACACTTTTGGCATCTACGGCTGAAGGCAGAGCGCCAGGTCTTGGAAGGGAAGGAAGCATATAGGATTCCTGGACAGCCATTTCAACTCAAAATCTTGACTGGGAAACAATGCGAAGACCTGGAACAATAGCATCCTTTAATATTGAATCGAGAAAACCTGACATGTCTACGGGCGAGGCGAGAGTACCGACTGTTCAGACACCTTCTCTGTAATCCAGAGTCCATTTGAGCTTTTGTAGATCAAGGAGTGGCTGTTTAACGTTTAAAACCACAACCTTGATTTTTATGAAATGACCTGTGCGTACAGTACAACCATAAAAAAAACACACTTTTAAAAATTAACTCTGCAACCAAATGAAAATTGTTTGGGTGGTAGATTTGCAGTATAGAGCGTTTTATGTAACCTTGAAAATAATAGTTAAAGTCATGAAATCATGTTACTACTGTGCATATTCTAGTAAAGTTGTAATACTACGATTGTGAAAGTAATATGGAACTTGTTGTGCAGCCAAATGATAACTATAACATTAACGATAAAGATAAAGAAGTACTTCTAAAAATCTATCCTAGAGTATAGCAGAGTCCACACCACCGTTATCTATATCGTTGGAATCACTTTCAGAACGATTTTCTCCAGCTGATGAATGATAAAAAACAGATAAAAACTCTGACAGCCAATCAGAATCCATCTTGCTGTAATGCATTTAAAGTGACATACGACAAAACTGCAGCATGTGCTTCTAATGAACAGACCATTATCGCCTGTTGGCGTGGACGCTAATATAGATAATAATAGATATAGTTATCTTTATAAATAGTATATTTGGTGTGAACGGGCCTAATAGTAAAAGAAAACAAAGGGCGCTCATATTTTCGGACAAAATACTAGTTTCTAAAGTTTGTTAGTGTTGTGTACAGTTTTGTGATTGCAAAAATACATTAGTAAAGGTATATTTGGCTTATGATCAACTTTTGTAAGGCTTCCCTCAAGTTTTTTAATTAATGATAATATTTTTTACTTTTACAAATGAGTAGTTTTTTTTCCACACTTCAATTGCATGGTTTGACATTTATGTTACTATATATTGATATTTGGTTCTTTGTCAATAGCCTTTCAATATTCTTTATTGAAATTTATTAAAAAGTGTTCGTATGCGAAGATTAAAATTTCAGACATTCTCCTAATTTTAAAACCATAGAAATGAGTTTTTGATTAACTTTCGTATTATTCTTATTGAAGAGATAATATTTATAAAATCTCGACACTGTCCCAGACTGTGTGAGGAAGACGCTGGCCCTATCCATGGACAGTCATGCTGCTGTTATGACAACAGAACCGTTACCATGGTGCCACAGAATGACAGTCCCAAGCATTATCAGTGCTGCTGATAGTGCGCTGTTCTTTGATTGGCCAGGAGCACTGATGCGTTTTCATGGTGCAGGTCACAATGGTCACAGCGCCATGTCAATGTTTCCGTGTGTGTTAAACAAGTAGGAAAGGCCAATCATTGCAGCCTCATTGCAAATACACACGAGCATTACATTAAGCATTATTATGTAACAGAGATGAGAGAAAGGCTTATTGACTTGTGAGAGGGTGAAGACTCATATCATTTGCTTAATTAAAACGTACACTACTGAACGAAATAGTTTGTAATAGTTTGCACTAACAACAATGGTGTGCACTGTGCAAACACTCTGAATGTGTTTCAGTTGAGTTGCTTAATGCTGGAGGCCTCTCTTTCAAAAGACTTTTCTGTATTTTTCCCCTCCTCTGCCCTCCCTCTGTTTGCCGCTATCCCTCTTTCTTTGCACAGTCTATTTACTCTCTTTATTTTATATGTAGTGTCTTGTTCTCTTTCGGCAGAGCAGTGGATGTAAAAAACCAACAAGCCCCAAAACAAAACTCTCCCTGTATTTTGTGCTGCTCAATCTTTCCTCTCACGGTTTTTGCTAAACAGCTTGTCTGCAAATAGAGAGAAAAACACATGTTTGTGCACCTTGTGCATCAGATTTAGTGTCTATGCAGATTGAATCTTGGTAGTTCCAGGTTAGTGTTTTATAAACAGCACAGGTTTACTCCAAGGCCGCAGAGTGGAGGCAAAACACTTTTGACCGCAAATACAACACTGCTTGGGTATTTGTGGTGGTTAGGGGTAAGGGGTGAGATATCTTGAACAAACACAAACCATGAAGAGAAGGAAGGAAGGATTGATAAAGTGCAAGAGAGGGTAAGAATGACAGGCAAAAGGGTTTGGTGTGTCCAGTCCTCAGGCCACTGAACTAAAGTGACCCTTACACCCTTGGCATTATAAAGAGTTAGTTTAGCGAACGCACACATAGATAAAATACAAACACAGCATTCGTGGAACTCCTTACCTTTCACTGTAACAGGAACAAAACACTGGGAGAGACTTTCAAAATAAACCCCAGCAGGGAGACTCAAAATCTGAAAAACTAGGTTGTGCCCTTTAAAATATATACATTAAACACACTATTATATACTTGTATCACATCATCTATCTAGGAATTTACTTCACTTTATGCTTGTTAGACAGTTTTTGAGGTAGCAGTGTTTCTTATAATGACTGCTTTCAAACAAGTTTTCACCTACCTGCCATTGGTTGAATAAAGAGATAGACCCGCCCCCAAACGCACGCCATTGGTTGAGCGACTGTTGCGGTGCAGAATCAAGCTACAGGTGGCTTAAAGGGGAAATGAAGCAGTCAATCAAGTTTACATGATTCACAAGATGGATTTTCCACTATAATCAACAATTATATAAGAAACATGACAAATGTAAACATAAAAGAAAAATCGTTATATCTTCCGCAATTGTGCAGTTTTCTAACATGTGACGTCATAGGGTTGGTTGGCTTTAGTTTAACAGGCTTTAGGTAGTAAATATCCAGACATCAAACTGTTTACACCAGTGTTTTGAACGCGAACAACTACTGTTAGGTACAGTCATTATTAGCTAACAGCTGGAAGCATGAACTAGCTAATGCTAACGTAGTGTTTGGCTAACTCAGTGAAGTTTATTAGTATCAGACAAAAAGACGATGTCTAATATTATATGTTGACAAACTGCACATAGAAACATTGTTCACGATGTCTGCCATTACATTCCCGTCTCGTCAACATCATGTAAGTTAGCATGTATTTGTTAAAGGGGAAATGAAACGTCCATGTTTTCGTACTGGTAGTGCTAGTAGCTACATATATTAGAAAAGTGTCTCCGCTCTGACATCCCTCATATGATGGCCGACATTGTGAACAATGTTTCTATGTGCAGTTTGTTAACATATAACTTTAGACGTCGTCTTTTTGTCTGGTACTAATAAACTTCACTAAGTTAGCTAGTAGACACTAATTTAGCATTAGCTAGTTCATGCTTCCAGCCGTTAGCTAATAATGACTGTACCTAACACTAGTTGTTCGCGGTCAAAACGCTGTGGTGTAAACAGTTTGATGTTGGGATATTCACAGCCCAGAGCCTGTTAAACTAAAGCCAACCAACCCTGTGACGTCCCATGATAGAATAATGCACAATGGCGGCATCCTTAATGCAAATGCGTGGAGTGTCCCTTTAACTTGTAGTTGTCTCTGCATAAACCTAAAAATGGCTGAAATAATATTTTAACATAAAGATACACACTTCAGTATAAATAATAATAGTATTTGAATCGTATTGTCTGGATATTTTCATCATATTCATCATAAATGTTCTTGTTTCTCAGGAAAAAGGAATGAAGATGTCAAGACGCATATCAACAGGACCAAGCTCATTTATTCCAGAAAATGAGGTAATACTAATAACAAAGTAATATTTGTTGCACTTCTTGGTTCAGAGATGGTACAATGGTTACACCATGATTTTTTTGAACATATATCTTGTTATAACCATGATCTTTTATGGTTAACTTACTAAGATTTTGTTTTTAATGTAAAAAAAAGAAAAAAGAAAAAGAAGTCTTTATTTTATTGTGCTGCTTTATATTTTTGTTTGTATAACATAAGAGATTGTAAGAGAATAGCATCTTAACAATTTAACACGTCATTACTAAATAAAAGTAATCATTTCTTTTGAATGATTCATACATAGTTCATATGGTTCATTCAGTACCATAGCATATGTCAGTATACCACAATATTATACATTTTCTCTCTTCTCTCACACACTCACTCAATCCGAGTTAACCCAACTCAGAGACTGTAATCGTTCTTTCTCGAGTCAGCTGGTGTTCATTTCACTTTTGTTTTGAGTTCAGCCAGTTCAGGAGATAATTTTCATTAAATCCGAGTTAAGCGTGCCGGGAGATCTAAGAAAGTGTATTTGGATTGTAAATTGAATTATAGCTTCTGTCCCTTCGTTGAATTAAGATTAACCTGAGCCAGAGTTCAACTCTTTCTTGGCTCTGATTCATAGCATCGCCTTCTCATTAACAAAATCAGACACAATTTAGTTCTATACACCACATGTTTAATTTGCATTACCACAGTGCTTTTATGTGAGGAAAAATAAAGTCATTACTTTGCACTGTTGTGTTCTGATCCTCCACCCCAGATCGTAGGAGCCATGCCTCTGAGTGACTCCACAGTGATGCTCTTAGACGAAGAGTTCAGCGGCCGCGTGGACAACCTGACGCAGGTGATGGGGCTCCACCCGCACTATCTGCAAGCCTTCCTGCGCTGCCACTATTACCTCTTGAGGATGGACGGCCCCCTACCACTCCACTACAGACATTACATCGCTATAATGGTACAGAAACGCTTTCAAGGGAGACTTTATTCAACTGGAACAGTTTTATGAGTGATTTTTGTCTGTATTTTGCAGGCTGCAGCACGGCATCAGTGTTCCTCGCTGGTGTATCACCACATGCAGGAGTTCGAGCAGATAGGCGTGTGTTCTGATTGGCTGAGAGGTCTGGAATTCTGCCCGCAACGACTTCGCAACCTCAACGAGATCAACAAGATCCTCGCGCACAGACCCTGGCTCATTACAAAGCAACATATACAGGTAACACACTAGCTGATATTTTTGCATAATGCAATCATTATACAACAATAAACATTTCTGCACTACATTTGTTTGTCACATGACATCACTATTAGGTAATCCAATTGATTTAATAATCAACACTCCAAATAAAAATGAAATGAGTTGAACGTAAACATTTAAATTGCTGTTTTTATTTTTGCCAGTTATGGACACTGAATGACTTTGCTGAGATAGTTATGCTAAATAAATCAAATGTTAATGATCTTAACTGTTTGTTTCTCAGGCTCTGGTGAAGACAGGAGAGCACAGCTGGTCTCTGGCAGAGCTGGTTCATGCTGTCGTACTATTGGCTCATTTCCATGCCTTGGCTAGTTTTGTGTTTGGTAGCGGAGTCAACCCTGACCCTGAGGTCACAGAGGTTAACGGGGTCACGGATGACCTTTGTCCTCGAGCCATGGCTGGTTTATGCACCTGTCACCTAACAAACGGCAACCAAGCCAACGGAAACCCCTTGCGTGACCCTAACACTGGGGTAGGAAAACATTACAGAGTACCCAGATAGTTCTTGTGGTTCTTCTTAATGCAAAATATGATGTGGAATATATACTATATGTTGTATATAAAATGTCATATATTATATATAATAATTTGTTGTATTATAAATATATAATACAATACATTATAAAATTATACATATGCACATACATTTATTTTCTTTTTAGAATTTTAGGGTTGCTTTTGGCAAGTTGTATGACATTCATCTGCATATTAATTCTGTGCATATTCAGGGCTATTTTTTTTATTTGTTTGGACAAAAGTAGCATGTAATTTTTTTAACTCCATTGTTGTGTATTTTAGAGTGAGCTGGAAGCACTGATGGAGAGAATGAAGCGATTGCTGGAGGAGAGAGAAGACGATGATGCGTCAGAGGAGGAGATGTTCACTCGCTTTGAGAAAGAAAAGAAAGAGAGTCTTCTGGTGGTGTCTGCAGGTATTACAACACAGATACTTTTTCTACCCATCTCCTCTTTTTCAATTTATGCTATTATTCATATTTTCTGGCATAATGATATTACATTCCAATAAAATCTGAAACTTTCAAATGTAGTTGTTGGCAGAAACCTTGTATCTCCATATTTCATCATAAATCATCACTATTAGTCCCCCTTTATGTCTGTCTTGGGATTTTTGCAAATATGCAACCAATGAAAAGTATTAAAAAGTGCTTGTGACCAAATCTCGTAACTACATTGCCTTCCTCAAACTCTCAGTCAAACCTAATAAATCCGCCCACCTCAATCTTGAATAAAGTTCAGCTCACAATTTGGAGCGTCTCTGCTTGTTTGCAATGCAAGGATAAATAAAGAACTGGTTCTTTGAATAAGTACAGTGTTTTCTTTATTCAAGAAACACTATATATATATATATATATATATATATATATATATACCCATTTTAACAGCGCCAATTTTTTTATCGCACGATTAACGCTCTTTTTGGCCTAGCAAACTTTGTAGTTTTTTTTTTTTCATGTGCGAGGACATTTTGTTTCTTCATCGACCAAAGCGGATCTAGCTAGACCAGAAACAAAACAACAGGCACGCTGAACAAACTTGATTGGGCTTGCGAGCCGGCCAAAGAGTTGGTTAATGTTACGTTTTGAGTGGATGACGACCGCGAGACGCCGAAATGGATGCCAATAAGATTCTGAATGGAAAGTTTACTTTTAAAATGTTGCCAAATGGTTCCATTGACAAGACCAAAGTTATCTGTGTGTTTTGTTGTTGTGAACTGAGCAATCATCATCGCAGCTGAAATACCACTTGATGATGGCCAAGCACACACACAGCTGATGCGAATTCTCCGCCCCCTCGTCAATATCAGGACCTCGTCAGTATTTCTTTCACCCTTTTATTGATGGACAGTGTTACATTGTGTGAGAGATTATTTGCTCCAAGTGAGAATGTAAGTGTGAAATTGAACACAGTACATGCCAATGTTGTTTTCAATAAAAAAAAAACCATTTGCACAAAGCAAGCCAATCCACTTTTCCATGTTGATAAGAGCATAATAATGAGAAAAAAATAATGGGACTAAAAGAAATCAAGAGACATTTAGAATAGATAAAAATGTGCGATTAATTGCGATTAATCGCGAGTTAACTATGACATTAATGCGATTAATCGTGATTAAATATTTTAATCATTTGACAGCACTAATATATATATATATAAACTGATGCTTTATGTGTTTGAGGATCGGAGAAGTGTGTCTCTAGCATTTGTTGTAAAGTTACAGTCAATACTGTCTAAAATAGCCTGTAAATCACTTCGTCTTTACATTGAGATATTGGTCAAATGTTGTAGCTTCAGTAAACTTTATAACCCTTAAATTGATGAAAATGTAATGCGATGCACTTAGATGTGGCCGAAATTCACTGGTCAAAAACCTTGTTACTTCATTTGAGCTTGATTTTGGTAAAATATAATGACTATGCAAGTGTCTGACCACATATAAAGCCACTATATAAACTTTGACAACACCATTTTTTGGGATATAAGGTTTCTGCCCAACACCAATTATATGTTTGAACTAAAACACTATTAGACTGTTTTTTTTCTGTTACTGTTGTGTGGTAAAATGGAAATTAATATTACCGAAATGAAAAATTCTGTCATCATCTACTCTGTTCTAAACTTTTATTTGCCATTTGTCATCAGTGACATCAAACAAAGCATGAATTTGAACTATTGCTTGAAAACAAAAAAGGATCTTGCCTTCTCTTGTTTTGTGTGTATTGTATTAAAATATTGTGATTTGCATATTCAGGGTTTGATGAGGAAGTGGTGCCCCCTTCTCCCGTGGCTCGTTTTGTAGACGACCCGTCGTTTGGATACCAGGACTTTGCGCGACACGGAGAAGACAACCCACCCACATTTAAAGCACAAGTACGACGTCTACCCTCGCGTATACAACATACACAACGTTTTGCTTCAATACCCTATTGAGAACGAATGATTGATCATTCTATCCTGTTCACCCTGTAGGACTACTCATGGGAGGATCATGGTTTCTCTCTGGTCAACAGACTGTACTCTGACATCGGTCACCTATTGGATGATAAGTTCAGAACGGCGTGTGATCTGACCTATTACAACATGGCCAGTCACGAGGGGGTGGACACCAGCATGCTGCGCAGGGCTCTCTTCAACTACGTCCACTGTATGTACGGGATCCGGTACGTCCATGAGTGTGTAATCTATCATTTTACAATCTATTATTAAACTTTAGTAAGTTGCCAAGGGAAAAGTTATAATTTCTCTAGCATTACTACACACTAGCCTACTGTCTGCATACTTGTAGTAGTATGCGACTGTAAATCATATGTATGCCCAGATCGCCCCCTAGTGTAATAGCACGGTACAACCAGGAGTATTGAAAGATGAAGATGTTTTCATTCTGTGCGTCTGCAGATACGATGATTATGATTACGGTGAGGTGAATCAGTTGTTGGAGCGCAGTCTGAAGGTTTACATCAAAACAGTGACGTGTTATCCAGAGCGAACCACTCGCCGCATGTACGAGAGCTACTGGCACCAGTTCAGACACTCCGAAAAGGCAAGTCATATTATCATGTGAAATACTGTTACCTATTACTATTTTTTCAGCATTACTTTTACTCTAAATATGCTGATATTCTCAATTACCTTTCTTTCCTTTATCCAGGTTCATGTGAATTTGCTTCTAATGGAGGCTCGAATGCAGGCAGAGCTGCTCTATGCTTTGAGAGCCATCACTCATTATATGACCTGACCAATCAGACGTCACCAATTAACCAATCAGACTTAATCTTTTAGGTGATCTGACCAATTGAACCTCGCCCACAATATGACCGGACATTATTATTATTATGCCTAAATTTAACCAATGCATATAGATTTGAGATCTTACAATTGTGTCCAAAATTGTGTATACCTTTTCTTGGATCGTTTCTTGGAACTTAATGAAGGAAATTGAGTATAGAGCATTCTGGGTATAATCCCAAACTTAAAATTGGGATGTTCGGGCGTGTTCAAATCATTCGTTGTAAGACTTGTGGGTGGGGAGCAATGACTTTAGCTGGATTCAAATGTAATCCTTAACGGTCGGAAAAATCCAATTGGATGCCTTGGATTTGACCTGATCAATCAAATGACATCATATGACATCACGACTCGACAAATCACATTTTAACGTGCAATACTTTCTAACTGAAATCTCATTTATACTGTAAGCTGAAATACTGGAGGACTGAGTTCACATTTTTGAAACAGGAAGTAATTTTTTTTTCTTTTTTTGCACATTTGAGAAAAACTGTATTTTGGAAAAAGAAAAAATACTGTTTTCTTTTTGTAATATCATAAATGACAATAACAGAATGTGAGAATTTTATTTGTTCCTTTCTTCAAAAAGAAAAAAATCCCTGTGCCTTTTATCATTCTTGTTTATTTCATATTGAATGTATTGTTTAGATTTTTTTTGTGTGTAATTTGTTTCTAGACTTTTTTCAGATCAATTTAGTTTGGTTTAGTTGTTTACCTGGAAACTAAGGCTTTTGTAGCATTATTACTGTACTATCAGTCCTATTACCGTATTTCCTTTCAATCTCAGTGTTATACTTTAGATAACAAAATTCATTTTATTTTATTATACATGTTACTGCCACCTGCAATAGCTCTACTAATCACATCATGATGTGACTTTATTTCTGTATGTGTGAGCATGTCTTATTTCTGAACGTCTGTCAAAGTGTTTGCACATGTGTCTCTTTGCACTAGTGTGCCTCTGTGAAAGAAAACCGTGCACACGAGCAAGAGAGTTCATGTGTGTGAGTGAGTGAGTGTTATGTGCAGGATTGCCTGAAAACTAACTTCTTTTGATACTATTGATGTGATAATTACTGTCCATCAAAGCATTTCTAAAAGGTTTATTTATATCGCTTTACTCATTGCTTAAGATTTGCACAACTCTAATCAAGGTGCAGCATCAGTGTCTTTAAAAGAAAATAGATTAAGATTGTGTCTGAAAATAAATGTATAGTGAAAAGATAAGCTTCATAGAATGAGCAAAGTGTTGCTAGTCTTATAGACAGTGACTTATTATTGTTTAGAAACAGGTTATGATTTAGTCATTTAGTGGTAGGTACACAAGAGATTGTTACAAATGTAGGTAAATCTGTCATCGAAGTGCCTTTCAAACTCCGCTGTAGGCGCTTCAATGTGTACGCAGCAGATTTAATGGAAAAAGGCCTTTGGAAAACGGCCGTACGTGACGCTGCATTTCCTACTTGTGTTTATTCCGATCAAGGTGGTGCTATGAAGCTTTCATATTCCCCACTTAACATAAATTTATACATTTCCAAAATGGCAGCACTGGAACTTCTCTCCAGTGGCCAATCACAGACCTGTATGTTTCAATAAAGTTTCTCATCAAATTCAGACTTCGAGTGATGGTTTTTGCAGACTGATTTTTTTTGTGTGTGTGTGTGACAATTTTGTGGCTAAAGGGCTAAAAAGTATCTATACTGTTGAAAAAGATAAGAAAAAAACCCCCTCATATTTGGCATATAGTAACAGCAGTGACCTTCAGTGTGACATATATACACACAGTACACACACCCACCCACACACACACACACACATATGTAGTTTATTAATACATGAAATATTTAATATTATTTAGTAATAATATTAGTATAACTAAATTATTATTTATTAAATTAACTGCAGGAAATTGTAAGTGAACTGGAAAAAAGCCAAAAGGTAAAATAAAAATGTATAGAAATGGTGACTAGTCACAACCCCTAAATATATGCTTTCCTTTAAACATTGCTTTAAAGCAATATTTATTATTTCAATAATAATTATTTTTTATTTTATTTAAACTATATTATTTACATGAACTAAAAGATAAATAGAAAGAAATGGTGACTAGTTACATTCCCTAAATCAGATGTATATTTTAATCTATATGCAAAAAAAAAAAAAAAACTTTACACAACAACAGACAAGATAACCTTTTTAAACTTATATATATATATATATATATTCTTACATATTAAACTAATTTCTATATTATTACTGATCACTAATAATCATGGCCATGTTGGTCAATGACTATAGGGCTACTGACAGATTCCCCACTTCATTGTAGCATCCAGTAAAATCATTAAAATGTATCCAATTTGTGGCTTTTATTGGACCTTCAACAAGCCCATATATGTCATTTAAAGCTGTCTCAACTTACTCTCAAGCATTCGATTACGATTGTCCAGATACAGGGTTTGGCATGGTGATGTCCGGCAGCAGATGACAGCTCGTGATGATGTCAATCTTCTCAGACACGGACTTCAGGTCCTCTAGAATGAGTCTAATGCTGTGGGACGCGTTGATGATGCCTGTCTGAGAGTTGTTGAGATGAATGGTGGCCTGTCTTATGTCCCTGGCCGCGTTCTGATACACCTGTTTCAGGCTTTGGTTGATGTCAGTGCACAGTCGTGCATTGCTCTCCAGCAGTTTCTGCTGAAGTAATGAGTTAAAGCGACCCGAGTCAGGTCTGGACACAGGCGACGATCTGTCCTCCTGTCCGCACACTGTCGCAGGTGTGTTTCTGATCACGATGAGAGGAGGGAGATCTTTGCGGAGCATCTGCTGTTGGCTTTCAAAGGCCAGTCTGCGCACTCTCTCCTCCTCATCCTCGCTGTCAGTCTCGGACGCTTCTCCTGCCACCTTCATACCTGATGATGATGCGTGGACAGGAGGGGCAGAGGTGATGTACACTTCATCATCCGAATCGGTTTCTGATGCTTCTCCCTGTACCACGATTTGGAATTTGTTGCTTGCCATGATTGCACACCTGGAAGATACATGTTTAAATCAGTTGATAACTCAGTAAGCTTTACCATGGTATAACTTGGTGTCAGTAGGCTATACATTTATTAAATACCATTGGTACCATGTAATGATTATTACCATTAACATATACTACATACATTTACACTGTATTCTAAAGTACTTAAAGGAATATCATAGCACTTCTATGACAAATGTCGATAACGTTAGTTGCTATTTACGCTAGTTCATACAATTTACGTTTTGCTCTAAATTGCTTCTAGATAAATTATGATGATATTGTTTAACGCGTATGTTTTGATATTAATTATGCACAGTAATTGTATTGAAAAAGCAATTAGAATCAAATGTGTGTATTTTTCGAACCTGCTAGTGTTTGTATCCACAATCCAAAATGTCATAGGATTTTGTCACGAGAAACCAACGTGAAGCAGGAAGCTGGAAGAATTTTAAAATAAAAGTCCATTACAATCAGAAGTGTATGAATTCAAAATAAAGGTCCCACGAAATATGCGAAAATAATAGAATAAAAATAAATAAATAAACTAAAATTAAATGAAATTAAATGAATTGAATTCAAAATATAAGCCTAAAGAATCATAAGAGACTCTAGAATAAGTGACAACATGTAGAATGCAACAGGGCATTTCTGAATTTATGTAGTTTGTGTGTAGTTATCTTCTAGTCATTAGCATATTCGGCCTTGATCGTGTTGCCGGGGGCGGAGTTTCTGTAAATTTTTGGGAGAAATCTTGTGTAGTCCATACCAGCCACCTACATTGTCTTTGGCATTCAATTACTTGATAAAAAAATGTAACAATAAATATATTCGTCGAATATTGCAAAGTAAAAACAAAGTCGTTCCATGAGGATTTTTTTCCCTGGAATTCACAGTTGGATGTTATAAATTGAAAAAAATAAAAAAATAAAAACATGGCTTTTACCTCATACATTTTGCATTTCCAACAAAGTAAAAGAAGTTCATTTTAAAATCTTACATAAAATGTATCCTGTAGCCTAAATTCAATAATATCCAAATATGTGGATGTTGAAAGCTCTTGTTCTTTTTGTGGATGCGCTGATGAAACTTTTACTCATCTTTTCTTTCATTGTGATTCTACAAAGAAGTTTTGGTCTGATTTAAATTATTTCATATTCCATCCTCCCATGATGATTTATAGCTTTTCTCTCAAGGATGTAATACGTTATTATGATAATAGTAAGGATCAGTCTCTAATTCATGTGGTGAACTTTCTCATTTAGGCTAGTCTATTATCTGGTGAATAATGCTCAGAATTAGGGTGCAATCTGAATAATCTAAACAGAACTTTGCTCACTGGTTGCTCATTTACAGCATACACACACACACACACACACACACACACACACACAGAGAGAGAGAGAGAGAGAGAGAGAGAGAGAGAGAGAGAGAGAGAGAGAGAGAGAGAGAGAGAGAGAGAGAGAGAGAGAGAGAGAGAGAGAGAGAGAGAGAGAGTCTCACACAGTGTGCGGTGGTGATTATCTGAAGAGGAACAGTATTTCCATGAGAACAGATCTCTCACACCGGTAAAGGAAAACAGAGCATGCTGTGAAAAAGTGTTAGTTTTATAATAACCTACAGATTGTGAATATGGAGACTCTGAAGCGGTGGATGAGGGACTGGAAGTATCCCACTTCTCTATTATGCATCTATGGGTTCTTCAGCACAGTAAAGCCTTTAGAACCATTTCTCATTCCTTTCCTAACTGGACCAGACAAGAACCTAACCATTGAGCAGGTAAACCAAAGTTTAATTATTAACTTAATTTTTTAGGATTTCAAAACCTAACTGTATGACTCATGTCGTTAAAGGGAAAGTGCACTGCAGAAATTCAAATTCTGTCATTATTTACACACTCTCACGTCGTTCAAAACCTGCTGTGGGACTTCCAAACTTTTTTTTTTAAAAAATATCTTAAATGCTTTTGTCCATATGGAATGAATGTCAATGGATGTTTTGAATCCCACTGATTTTAATTGTATGAACAAAATAGTTTAAAAAACATTAAAAATATCTTCTTTAATATTTCACAGCAACCCAATCACACTAGCACGCAGTGTGTTTATCGTGCAATTGACCTTATGCACAGCTGCACTACTTCCTGAACTTAAGCCAGCTCCTTGTTTCCTGTCTGCCATTATTGGACAAACTTGATTAATTCAGGTGTGTCTGATTATTGTTGCCGTGACTACTGAGGTCAGGCACACCTGAACTAATCAATTGGCCAATAATGGCAGACAGGAAACAAGGAGCTGGCTTAAGTACAGGAAGTAGTGCAGCAGCGCATAAAGTCCATTTATACGCTAAAGTGAGTTTTTACGTTCATAGGATCACATGGGTTAGTTAGGTTTAGTAGTGGCATGGGGTGCTTGTGTATTGTACGTTTGGGTATAGAACTAGGTCTGGGGTGCGTGTGTATACACACAAATGAACTGAGTAGGCTATCAAATGCTCGCGAAAACTGCGTATCATATGCACAAAACTATAAATTGCTCGACAATAGAATAAATGACAGAAATTTAATTTTTTTGGCTCAACTTTGCTGTTATTGCAAAATGAATTTCAGAGAAACCTTTCATGGTCAATTATTGTGATTCTGATACTGAGTTAGATTTGTGCAATAAAATACTACAATCTGTGTACACTGCTGTAAAATAGTCGTTAGAAGTAATAATGTATAAAAAATCTATATTTGACAAGTTGACATGGCATTTCAAATAGTAACATAATTGTGACATGATTTTTTTTAAATTATAATTAATTATTATTTATATAATTATTTGTATAATAATATTTTTCTATATTATTTGCACTATATTTTGTCTTGTATTATAATTATAGTAATTAATTATAGGCTATGACTGTTGCAGGAATCCATTTGATTACTGATTAAGATTTGTGCAATACATCTAGTTGGTTGGTGGTGGTAAGTAGCTGTTTTGTTTGTTTTTTTTCTCCTCAAGGTAACCAATCAGATATTCCCAGTGTGGACGTACTCTTACCTGACAGTGCTGGTTCCTGTCTTCCTCCTCACTGATTTTCTACGCTACAAACCTGTGGTGGTCTTCCAGTGTCTAGTCCTGTTTGCCACCACAGCAATGATACTGTGGTGTAAGGGTGTACGAGAGATGCAGGCTATGCAGTTTGCATATGGAGTGGTGACGTCGTGTGACGTCGCTTACTTCACGTATATTTACAGCATGGTGGAGTTGAAGCACTACCTGAAAGCCACCTCATACTGCCGGACCGCACAGCTGCTGGGCTACACCGTGGGTTCAGTATTAGGCCAGGTCCTAGTCTCTTTTGAACTGATGTCCTACAACTACATTCTAGTGTTTACACTTGTTCTCACCGCCATTGCGTTGATATCCTCCATTCTTCTCCCAATGCCTACGACAAGCATGTTCTTCCACCAAAGGAGCAGAGCTAGTAGAGAGACTGATGGGGAAGGGCATGTTGAGACAGTTAAACATCCGGAACCCGAGGAAGGGTCTATGTCAGAGTTGGATCTTCAGAGCATTGACCAAAAAGATGGCGCAGAGGTGGATGGACTCAAACCGAAGCAGGAAATACTGGAAGGTTTCAATGATTGTGATAGTAGTGCAAAAAGTTCCAAGACAGGTAGGACTATATTAGCAACATCACATGGCTAATAATGTGTCACTGGTGTAGAAGCTAACCGAGTGCCTCAGGAATTAGTCCTAAACCATGAAATAAGATGCATTTTTGCACTTTCGGATCCATTGTTTCAAAGTCAATGGGTTTTTTGTTTAAATGCCTGAAATAAGGTCTGTAACACTAGTACAAGCTATTTTCATGTTTTATTCTGAGACATAAAAATACATCATTGTTCACTCCTTATTTTAAGCTTTTATGTGTCTTAAAAGGCAGTTGCTAACAAGGGGCTGAATGGGACTAGAGCTTCCAGAGGTTGAACATCATTGAACATGACAGCTCATCTACTCAATAGTCTGCTTTTAACGCATTGTTGTATTTATACTTGCACTCTTGCAAACAATTCAAACTCAAACTTTCCAACTTGTTGGACGCGTTTTCAGAAGCTTAGTAGAGTCATGTGACTGGTAAAAAAGTACACTGTTAAAGCAGTGTAAATTTTTGATCATAGCTATACATTTTTAGTGTAAGTTTAGTTGTTTAATTCCAACAATTGAATTTAGATTCTCTTAATTAACAAAATGCAGTTTTGTTTTGTCTTGTGTGTGTGCCATTGGAGCATCACATGGTCAGCAGATTATCCGGAGCGCACGCTTTCAATGAAGGTTTTAAGGGCGTAAATTACTAATGAAACAATTCAGTCTAAGTTCATTTACTCGTCTGGGGAAATGAATAAAGTAGAAACGAAACACAAAACTATAACAAAGAAAGAAAGAAAAAGATCCCCGGACAGGAAGATCACGAAGGAGTTACATGATGAAGCGCCACCGGAAGAAAGGATGAAGAGAGAGCTAATCTTGATGATCAGTAATTTTAAAACGTGATGATGTCACACACCCTCTGGAGGTGTGTGAGCCAATGGGAAACTGGCCATTTGGAGGGAGTTTTTCGACTCTTGGCTCGTACATTTGCATGTTTTATGACAAGGGTGGTTAGAGTCATGACTCACTCTCATCATTTCTACTCTCAAGAATGGAAAGAATGGAAAGTATAGTGTAATCCATTGTATCATAACCTAAGATGCATTTTTTACTGGAGGAGGCTGCAGGGATTCCTATGATACCAAGCGAGGCATGCAAACACGAAAGGAAAGCAAGATTACATTCATATGCATTCAACACATCTAGAGAAGTCATGACAATGAAACACATGGGTATGCAGGAATATATCGTACTCATTTCAGAAGTAGTCAAGTTGCAGATTTCAATGAAGGAATGTCTGTTTATGTGTGTGCGTTTTGGGAGAGGTTTCTGGTCGCCTGGCCTGGCTCTGAGGAGATAGCGATCTCTTTGAAGCCCGACCCCCGGCTGTGTGTGTGTATAGGTGTGTGTACACAACTTTCCTTCTTGCCGGAAAGGGGGAAAGCTTTGTTTTAACTCAGTTTCCAATGAACGTGACAATGGAATTACTAGCTGCGTGTCTAGCTTTTCAACTATAGATTTGAATGAGTCCCAACTGACAGAGTCCAGATACCCTACATGCATATTAAACAGCTGAATGAATCCACATGATCTTAGAGGAGTTCTGATTGTCCTGATGATATCCCAGGTGGCTGTTGTGATGTCCTGCTCTGGTTGTGGAGAGATTTCCGACAGTGTTTCTCCTCCCGTACGCTGATGATCTGGTCAGCGTGGTGGGCGCTGTCTACCTGCGGCTACAACCAGACGGTGAACTACGTCCAGTCACTGTGGGAGCATGTGGAGCCGTCTAGTAATTTCACGATCTACAATGGAGGAGTGGAGGCCCTTTCAAACCTTTTTGGTGAGTACAAGGGACATTAGGCCTATACTTGTTTTGAACTGAGATAAATTTGAACTTTATTGTGATAGATTTTTCTTCCCTATTGTGACGTACGTACATACGTATGAAACTGCTTCTCAAACAAGAAAAAATGTAGGGGAGGGAGTGCCCGCCCACTTTTTTAGTTGCGTTGGCTTCGGAAGTATTTTTTTTAATTCATTTCCACAAAAAGGATTTCCACGCCAACCCGCCACGAGGTGAATCATAACACTGCAAACTTTGATTTGAAGGAAAAAATCTTTGAAAATCGGACAAAAAATACAAATGTGCAAGACTGTGTAGTTTAAAGCTTTAGTGAGGAAAAGAACTACAATCCCATGAATCATTGTGAACTGCATCATCAAATAAAAAATGATGAAGAAATATAAAACTACGCATTTAAAAATGTTGATTGTAGGTTTATATAAACAATATATTATTTTTAATGTATAATACGTTTATTGCAAAATATGTATTTTGAAATTTTAATATTTTTAAAAGTGTATGGGATCTACTACATCATTTGCTGAATTCATGATAGGCGGGGCTAAAGAGCTCTTTTGCATGTTTTTCTTATTTTGACTCTCTGGTTGGTGTAATTGTCTGTACAGCATCATGGGTAATGTAGTTTTTTTTTTTTTACCACACATTCCACTGTCATTTTTATTTTAAACATTTAATTTTCATATCATTTCACATTTTATTTTAAAACTAAACTGACTGTTGCACTTGCTCTTGGGTGTGCGACATGTTGTCCCACCATTTGCTTTTTATTTTTTCATTTATTATTTTAATCCATTTAATAATTTTTCGAGCATTGACCTGAAAATAAAATTTCCAACTTAAGCTGTCGTAAATCTTGAATGCGTTAGCTCACAGACTTTAGTTTCTCCTTTCAAAGATGGCACTATTGCTGAAGTGAAAAGTGTTTTAAAAAGTGAACGTAAAAAAGTTACAGAATTTTATGTTTTTTTGTTCTGAAAAATGGCTTTAGGAAGTAAGGTTAGATCTTAAGAGTTATGATGATTAGTTTGATATGCAGTTTACTACTTTATTAATTAAAAAATCCATCACACGTGGAAACGGTGCTTTCCTGTCCATCATCACTGTCTGCACCACAGGGGCCGCGGCGGCGTATGGGATCGGGTTTGCATCTGCAGACTGGTCTCGCTGGGGTGAGATAGCTCTGGGAGGGCTCTCTGCCCTGGAGGCCGGTGCTCTCTTCGCTATGGTCTTCAGCGCCAACATCTGGGTCTGCTACTGTGGCTACATCATCTTTAAGAGCCTGTACATGCTGCTCATCACCATTGCCATGTAAGTCCTGTGCAAAATATGTGACGACTTATAAGCACCTTATACCCAGCTAGGATGATGTTTTCTTCTTTGTAAGTTAAATGTTATCATGAACCAAATTTAGCTGATTATAATATATTCCTGCTTCAAACTTGTAGCATAATTATATGATAAACGTTCATAAATGTGTACACTATCTTATCCGACCACTTGCCGTTTCACCTTAATTGGAGCAATAACGGTAAAGATTTTTGACCTGTCATGCTTATATTCAAATTTCAGATCCATTTATTGCCAGAAACCTGATGATGTAAAGCATTTACACCTTATACAGTAGGCTGGATGCTATAAAAAGATGCACTCATAAAGGGCAATGTATAGGCATTTATAATATGGTCTTAACTTTCCCTAATATTTAATAGTTTTGCATTGACAGTGACAGCTTGGTCAATTTTATAAACTCAGAATGTTACTGAATGCCCTAATAAATATACATTATTTTTTCAGTCTCTTATTACAGGTTAAATAAGGATTTGATTGCACTCGCTCAAAACAACTTTAGCCAAGGATTAGATACTTGATTTAAACATTACATTAAATTTTACAGGCCCGGAAACAGCCGGAAGAAAAGAGAACACATCTTGCACAGTGAATGCACAATCATTTCCATGTCGTTTGTCTCATAGGTTCCAGATTGCAGCGGGGTTGAACATGGAGCGTTACGCCCTTGTTTTTGGAGCCAACACCTTCTGTGCTCTGGTCCTCCAGACAATCATCACCTCTGTGGTGGTGGACAGCAGTGGGCTTGGTGTGGATATTGTCACACAGGTGAGGTCACACTGTTTATGCAAATCAAAATTATTGGATAGGATGGTTAAAACCTGCTCTGGGGCGAGGTCAGCACTGCTGGAAATTGTGTGTCCAGTGTGAAAGGTTGCGATGTTAGGAGCAAATCAGTGCAGCGGAAAAAGAAAGCAGTTTTTAAAATTTGAACTAAGGGGTCTGTTTTATACAAGCTTGTTTCCACCACTGAATAAAAAATAAATTAAAAAATAACTGGGACTTTTTATCTCACAATTCGAGATATGAAGTCAGAATTTAGACTTTTTATCTCACAATTCCGACTTTTTTTCTCGCAACTGCAACTTTACATTGCGCAATTCTGACTTTATATCACATAATTGTGAGTTCGAAATTCAGATGAAATTTCGAGTTATCAGGCCAATTCGAAGGAAAAAAAATATTTTTAACCCTCAGAATAGTTTATATCTCACAATTCTGATTTTATAACATGCAATTCTGACTTTATAACACGCAATTCTGACTTTATAACATGCAATTCTGACTTTATAACTCGCAATTCTGACTTTATATCACATAATTTCAAGTTCGAAATTCTGACGCAATTGTGAGTTATCAGGCCAATTCTAAGGGGAAAAAATACTTTTAACCCTCATAATAGTTTATATCTCGCAATTCTGACTTTATAACACGCAATTCTGACTTTATATCTCGCAATTCTGACTTTATAACAATTCTGACTTTATATCTCGCAATTCTGACTTTATAACACGCAATTGCGACTTAATATCAATCAATTCTGACTTTATAACACGCAATTCTGACTTTATATCTAGCTATTGTGAGAAATAAGGTCAGAATTACGAGATATAAAGTCACAATTACCTTTTTAATTTTCATTCTGTGGAGGAAACAACCTTTCATACCCATCATTTACATGACACCGAAAACCAACTAAAAATGGAAAACTTTGCGTTTTCTTTCTTTGAAAACGATACCGTTACGGTCTGTGTAAACCACAAAAACCTGAATTTGCGAAAACAGTGATGTCAGGCGCATGTGTATGGGCTATATGCACGCATAAGTTCCGCATTTGACGCAAGGATGCTCGTCCATTTCCGGTTGTGGAGATTTAAGCGGAGGAGAACCGAGGAAAACAAGATTATGGCACAGTCTTCAAAATTTACTGTCCTCCCGTCTTTGAAACGAAACGTACATACGTTTAGATGTAATTTTATATATAGTTATGTTTATTTAATCTAATTTTAAAAAGAAGCATAAACACAACGAGGGGTGTCTGTTTTATCTGTTTTTGTGACTAACGTTTCTTTATTATAACCATGGAGTATAAAATTCAATATAAATTCTCGGTATTGCATTGGACTCTACGATCGGCGGGAGTTATCGAGCATCCTCACACCTTCACCGGAAATACCGCCGTGCATAGAGCCCATTATGTGTTCAGCCTGTAGGCGCTTAGTGTTCCTTTTAAAAGTGACATCGCCACCTACTGGCCTGGCAGCATAATAGTCATTTTTGTGGATCATTGTGAACATGACAACGCTGTCATCTGTTTGCAAAAAATGTGAAGGACAATGTACTTTCTGTTTTCAGTACATCGTTGTCTTGTAAACGTATCCTAATTTAAACAATCAATCACCAGCTTCATGTGCTTTGGACAGTCACAGAAACACGGTATGTATATCAACAGCCGATTTAGCATTTGATAGGAAAAGCATCAAACTCAAATGGAGTTTAGAAGAGACCGTTTCATTCTCCACCTCGAAAAGTCCATTCAGAAAAATGCAAGAGTATTTATGTACAGGTACATAAAGTAAATCATTGACCCTGACACAACAGATTTGCAAATAAGAACATTAACCCAGAGTTCATGAATGTAGAGTGTGATATGAATAATAGTTTATTAAAATGAATTGGTAACCCTGGGTAGATAATGAGTGTGAAACTAAAAAACTAAAACGTAACAAAATGGTGATTGCATTTAAACTGTTGTTGTGTTACTTGTCTTACAGTTTACCATCTACGGGGGATATTTTTCTGTTATTGGGATCGTTTTCTTCTTGAGGGGTTTGTATACTACCGTGTGCCGAAAACCTGAGATCGAAACATCGAGAGAGAATCCAGAAGAAACTTTTAAGGCAGAAGATGATGCGCAAATCATCACTGGAACGAAATTCTGAACATGAGGAACAGGAAGTACCTGATCACACTTGATTAATTATGAACAAACAGAAGGAAAGCATAAAAATATACTATTTTTCTTTTTTTTTTAGGTAAAATTCATTTTAATATATATTGTATATATATTTATTTATATACATATACATATACACACATTAACTTAGATTTCTGTAACATAAGTGGTCTTGAATCAGAGTCTCATGAGTTCTCATTACTCCTCATAATGGAAAAACAATCTTTTTTGCCTCAGAAACTGCAAAAGCACAAAAAGGCAAATGTCAAAAAGGATTCCACATTCTTGCTTCATGTTATTCACAGCACGGCGGACGTCAACGCCGTATATGCAGCATATGTGTGTGTACATGTGTGTATGTGTTAAAGATACAAATACTGATATGCACAAAGATCTAAAATTTAGCAATTTCTATGAAAGAATTATGTACAGAATTGCAGCATTAACATGAACAGGAGGTTTGCAATAAGTTAGTTATCCACCACGTCGTGCAGAAGATTTCCAGGCCAGTTAACAGGAATGACAAAAGGAGCACAGTAAAAAAAAAAGCTCCTTTTCTCCAGACAACCCTGCATAATGTTTTGTTTTCTGTTGCTATGGACGTTGCCATAGACAGGATCATGTATTTATTGTTTTGTTGTTTTTTCAAACTTAAAATTCAATAAAAAATCTTTAAGAAATGATGTTTTTTAAAGCTACTTGCAGGACAAAACAGTGCAAGAGGTGCGAAGGAGTCGCAGGTCGCCCGCTGGAGGACACAAGAGTGCTATAAGAAGGGGTTTGTGGATGAGCCTCCAGCAGGAAACTGTGCTGCCCCCGCCTGCAAGACAGAAGATCAACAAAAACCCTGCAGATTTAACTTCAAAATAACTCGTTTTTGTAAAAGAATACAGAATAGATCAAAATAAGAGACTTAAAATTACATTTCGAATAAAGTGTAGACTTAAAATTATTAATTAAAATGTAAAACTATTAATTATAAATGTATAACAATTATGAATTAATACATTTAACTTCAAAATGATGTTTTTTTGTAAGACGAATAAATAATTAAAGACTCAAATAAACATTAGGAATTAAATGTAGATTTAATAATTTTTTTTTTTACAAAATAAGCAAATAAATACATAGAAATTAGTCAAATTAAGAAATGTAAACTTAATGATGAATTATAATTAATACTCTATACTGTATATTATAATTATATATTTTAATTCATTCTTAATAACAGTTATAGCTTAAAAATTTTATATTTTCTAAATAAATAAATAAAAGAGACTCAAATAAACATTTGTGATGATGTAAATTTCATAAAAGACTATATAAAATAAACAAGTAAAAAAAAAGAAAGAAAAATAAGAGACAAATGACCATTTTGGAATGAAATGCAAATTAATAAATGTAAAATTATATATAAATTAGGGCTGTGCAAAGATTAATTGCGAATAATCACATCCAAAATAAAAGTGGGTTTACATAATATATGTGTGTGTGCTGTGTATAATTATTTTGTATGCATATGCATGCATGTATATATTTAAGAATTATTTGCACATAAATACATAATCTATATTATATATAAATAGTTTATATATGAATAACACATTTTTCTTAAATATATACATATGTGTCTGTATTTATATATATAAAAAATAATTAAAAATAAAAGATTTTATTTTAAATATGTAGATTGTAAAATAAATTAGACTTAAATTAACATTTGGAATATTGGACTTTATAAAAAAAATATAATTAAAATACATTATTGATAGAAAAACGAACAAACATTATAATCTTACAAAACATGAGTTCTTTAACTCACCAGGAAGGGATTGTTGGTTACTCCAGGTGCCGTCTGTCCAAATGGAGCGCCCTTACCCTGACCAAACGCAGCAAAACCTCCTAACAAAACAAATAAAACAAATATGTGACTAAAAAATGTGAACATGTGAAAATCTTTATAGCTGAAGTACAGCTGAAACATTCAGCAGACTGAATTGTAAAGCATTAAAATATTTCCTCAGCCCCGCCCCCTACCGTTGTGTTGTTGGGGATACGCGTGCGGCTGGGCAAACGGCTGTCCAGGAAACGCTTGCTGGAAGTTTCCACTGAAGCTGGTGGGAAGGTTGTATGCAGCAGCGTTTCCAAAACCAGTGGGCATGCTCATGGACGGCGGACCGAAAGAGGCTACGGGACGAAAAGAGTCTCAGTTTGACTTGCATACACACATGTGACGTTCAATGCAGTTTCCTTTTAGCCAGTTCATGAGATGCACTGACATCAAGTTTGGAGCTCAACAAAATCTTTAAAAATAACAGCTATATGAATTAACCTAATATTATTTACCAGTGGATTTGAAATGGAAAAAACATACAAACTAAATTAAGACACAGAGCTTAATGGTTTTTCCAACTCTCCACTCCGAAAAGTGAAATGTTTAAGAGGTAGAGCAAATTACTACATTTTAATTTTAAATGTAGAAGACATTCAAGTGACATGCACTGATGAATCGTTCAAAATAAGAACAGTGAGTAAATAGGGTCATGTTGACTATTTTTGTCCCGAGTACAGAAATCTGTGGCGCTGAATCGGTAGAGCAGATGACAAGACATGAGGACAGAAACAATACACAACCCTCAGAGAACAACAACCAACAGTTTATAATATATAAACACATACTAAATTGAAATTGATCAAAAGTGACAGGATCATGTGACACTGATGACTGGACACTGTAAAAGACGACAGCCCCCAATTAAGTTATTTTTGATTTTGAAGTCAAGTTTATAAGAACAAAAGCTAGTTCTGAGAAAAGCTCTGTTTTCAGATGCCACTTCATTTGATATTAAAACCATTTTTAATTGCCTACTGAACGTATATTATGCATTTGGTCAATTTTCTGTGACAGCTGAAGACATGAGATATCACTGCAAAGGATAATACGACAAAACATTATCTGGGGTTCATCCGCCTTGGACAACACAAGCACACCTTTCTTTAATGGGGTCCGAAGGTCAGGATGACCACATAATTGTGGTCAATTATGTTTATATTATCCTGCTAGTCTATGTCATGGCTAAGCCCCAGAAAAGGAAGAGAAATAATGGATAAAATGAGAGAAAGAAAGAGATGAACATACCAAAGTGAGCCGCAGGGTAAGCCTGACCCTGCAGGGGTCCTATCAAGTCTGAACAGCATGTCAAGAACACAGCCAAACAAAACCATCAGTCGCAGCGCACTTGCTTTTCTGTTTTCTCATTTTTGGCCTATATTATATATACTCTCCTCCTAATTCACATTTAACTAGACGCCTTTCCTTCCTGCCTTTTTTCTTTCTCTCTCTGGATCACACATACACACACACACTCAACATTTATCCGCCGCAGGGATATAGAAATCTCTGCCTTTGTATCTAGCGTGTGAGAGCGCTCTCAAGCTGTTAGCTCCTAGCATGGAGACTGGGCGTATCTGACCCACTTAAAAATCTTCACAAAGCCCTCTGGTGTGTTAAATAAATAATGAGACACAAAACAAGGGCTGCTTCTCGTGTCTTAAACGCTTCCGAAACCGAGGACAAAGCCTGCTGTGAATTCAGAGAAGATTTTCTGCGAATAAACGCGGGGTTAAACCGATCGACTTGTTTAAATTTTGTATGTATGCTACGCCTATACCTGCTGTGGCCACGCCCACTCCTGGTGCTGCTCCTCTCCCATTGGTCTGAAATGGGTTAGTGGCCTGCGGAGCCCCGGGAGCGACGAATGGATTCGTCGAAGGGCCTGTTAGAAAACGCAGTCGAGATGTAGGAGTGGCGATGAAGGCGGCAGAATGGAAATCTCCAATAGATCTGAGAGACGTTTACCTGCAAAACCCTGAAGCATGCTGGGTAAACCCTGTTGTGCTTGAGCCGGAGCAACGGCTGTAGAGGATCCAAACATAGCCCTGAATGAGAGAAAGAGAGTTCAACCGAGTTCGACCGAGAAAAAGACGATAAGGGGAACAGAGACGTCTCTTTATGGTCTCACCCTTGCGTTGTGGTGGCAGTGTTGTAGCCGCTCGCATTTGGCGCTGAGGTGCAAAAGACTGTGTCCAGTTCAGCTAGCGCAGCGTAGCGGTCGCCGCCAAACAGAGCTGCCTGTGGAGGGGGCGGACCCACGCCTGCCGATGGAGGGGCCGAGCTCGTACCTTTGGATGGAGACAGAAACTGTTTTCTTAAAACCCCAGCACACATTAATGCACAGGACTCGAATACATTATATGGAAAGTTGTGCGTTTCAAATATTTAGAAAAATGAGTCATGCTCAAATGTTTATATCAAGCCTAGATCGACATGAGCTGTAAAGAGTGTGTGAAAATGCACCTTGTTCAGGTTTGGTGCTGAATACGTTGTCGAGGTTGGCCAGGGCTGCGTATCGATCCGCAGGGACACTGACCGCTTCCACAGAGTTACTCTGGGTGGAGCTGAACGAGGCAAAGTCAGCACTGCACGATTTGGGGAAGTTATCGAAGTTGGCAAAGTTGGGATTGCCAAGTCCTGATGAGCTACCTGAGGAAGGAAGCGAAAAGATGAGCAACAGAGGGAGAGAAAATCCATTTCCACAGAAAGTCCATTTCACACGTTTTGTTTTGGGGAGACCCTGTGTTTTTTTTTAACCGAACAGTAAACTCAGCTAAAAACAACGAAACTCAAATTAATTATTAATTATTTACACTATAATCATTTAAGTATGAATTATAATATATAAATATAGCTGCAAGCAGCAATTATCAGGGCCAAGCACAAAGAACACGCGATAAGTCATGCCATCATGGCTGGGAGTGTCAGACCAACTACAACAATGAGCAATTAAAGATGTTTTAAGATGATTTTAGGCAAAATGCCTGAAAAATCATGAATACAGTCACTAGTTATTTGATTTTATGGTTTATTACTTTCGACCAATAGGTGGCACTGTGACCAGTTTCATGTGGTGTGGTCAGAGTAAGGTGAAAAGACACATTGACACATTTTTAGTGTCAACATGCCAAAGCATTGCAGAGATACAGTCTCAGAGTCATTTTGGCTTCATGCCTCAACTTTGTTGCTGCAGTACACAAAAACCATAACTTTCTGTCAGCACAGTCTGAAGATAATCTGACTAGAGTTTGGTGAAAATCGGACACGGTCTAGGAGGAGCTGGAAAAAGTAGGTTTTGAAAGAAAATCAAAAATGGCAGACAGGAAGTTTGGCCAACTATGCAAAAATTGGTATCTATGTTCTCTGCATGATCAAAGGAATCTATATCCAAGACCACTTTAATAGGGTAATTTATTCAAAAGGTATCAGCATTTTTGACCACAAGGAGGTGCTGCCACAAAACTTTGAGTACTGTCAGAGCATGGTGCCGAAGACAAAAAGAGTTTCACAACAATATGCCAATGCGTTCATAAAATATAGAATATTATGATAAAATCCAAAATGGCCAATAAGGGATACTTGAAATGCTGCACCGAATCTAAAAAGACCATTTTTGCGACTTTTGGACAAACTGTTCAGAAGTTATAAGCAAAAAGAGAAATTTTCCATATCTCCTGACCACTAAGTGGCACTGTGCCGAAACGGTGGAGGTGGCCTCGGGTCATAGTAGCCAAAACACACATCAAGTTGCGGAAATATAGCCTAATTTATTTTGGCGTTCTCTTTGTTGAAATCGTTTGCACGTACCTTTTTGCAGGCATAGTCTGAAAATGATCTGTTCCAATATTTATGAATATCGAAGTAACGGCCTGGGAGGAGTTCGAAAAAGTCAAAGCAAAGGAGTTTTTTCCTAGCCTTTATGGTTCAAAAGTTGTTAGCATAAATGTGAGTGCAAATTTGGACAGTTGCTAGGACAGTAGTTGGGGAGACTTAAAGCGACACTGTGTGATTTTTACCGCCATCTTGAGGTGAAAAGGTATATGACCATCCAGTGAATATTAGTTTCTGTTCCTCTCAATTCCGATTTCGTTTTAACTCCTACGGTGGCCAATGTAGTCCAAGATTAACATGGCTTCCAATTCAACCTCGTCCATGAGTGTTAACTCAAACGAAAACGCGAAAGGCGAAGCTTGAATTAACGGGTATGTATGTCCCTCTTTGGCTAATGTACTTTCAAGATGGCGACCGACACTTATGTACCCCTTACAGATAACCCAGTTATCACAGAAAAAGATTATTTCTAAAAAATCCGGCCAAAGTGGAGATTTCTGAAAACGCTCTTTATGTGTTGTCGTGTGAACTGAGAGAAACGGCGTTTTAGGTTCTCTCTTGTCCGTTATGGCTTGCATGGCTTTATCCTTCTCCCTACACTGCCGCCCGTAGGTTTGGCATAGATATGATGGCGCTCGATGGCGTATTTATTTATGCAGGTGTGTGAACGATGTATTGAAAACAGAAAGAGGGGGAAAATATTAGTTTCTCTAAATACCCGGCTTTGTGTAAACGTGGCCTCATACACCGACGGCGGTGTCAGCCATGCAAGGCGCCATCCAGCTCGTCGGGAGCAGCTGGGGTTAGGTGTCTTGCTCATGGACACCTCGACACTTGATCAGGTGGAACCGGGGATTGAACCACCAACCTTTCGGTTTGTAGACAACCTACATGAACCACTGAGCCGGATTTCATTCACACCACTGCAAGATAGTGTCAGGAAAGCCACTTTAAACAGCAAATGAACAGAGTGTGTGCACAAGACACACACACACACACACACACAAGCTGTGACTTACTGTGCATGGCCAGTGGAGGCAGCGATGAGGTAAACTCGCCCACACTGCGACTAAATGGGAGACTGTTGTACACTGATGTACGCACAGGAAATGAGTGAATGACAGCACGGGTATGAAAAGCAGGAAAGAAAAAGTAAAAGTAATAGAAATTATTAAAAGTTTGGGGTCAATTTTAATGTTGAAAGAAGACTAAAGCTCACACAGGCTGCATTTATTTGATCAAATACAGTAACATTATTCAATTTGTTACAATTTAAAATAAATCTTGTATTCTAATACATTATATCCTTCAGAAATCATTCTAATATGCTGAAAAAGGTTGAGCTGCTCAATATTTTTTGTGGAAACTGTGATACATTTTTATAATTATTTGAAGAATAGAAAGTTCAAAAGAACAGCATTTATTTGAAATAGAAAATGTCTTTTGTGACATTACCAATGTCGTCACTGTTATATTTTGATCAATTTAATGCATTCCTGCTGAACAAAACAGAAGAAAAATCAGCCAAGCTGAAAGTGAGGAACTGAAATGACAGATTAATAAAAAATATATTTCTTTTATTAGAGAGAATTAAATGTATAATTAAAACACTGATAAAAAGAAAGAATGGTTGAGAAGCGACAATGTAAACAATCAGCAATGAAATAAAAAAAGACAAACAGAAAGACTTTTAAAATCACATTTCTAAGTTAACAGCACAACTTGGACAAGGAGTCATTTCTAAAAGGGGGGTGAATGGATGTTCATTTGCCTGGCTGTGAGCTTGTGTTATACCTGGTTGTGTGGGCTGAAATGAGTCCTGTGGAGCCGATGGAAACGCTGCTGTGGTCGGAGCAGCAGAACATTTGAACGCATCAAAATTGGCAAAGTCTGCATTAGCATTAGCATTCTGCGCTGTTGGGGTCCACCACAAACAAACACACAAAACAGAAAATGGGATGAGGAATAATAGAGAAACAGGAATGAAACTATGGGATGAACGTGTCCAGTGTTTAGGTCAATTTAGTTTCTTTTTCAGTCAGGAAATCTGACTGAAATCAAAGTCAGAAATCAAAAATTCATTTGTGTAAATTTAGCTGACTTAAACACTGGTTGTATATGTAGACATTAAACACTCTGATGTAAAGTGGAATGATACAATGTTGAATCACACAAACCCACTGACACATGACACAAATAAAGAAATGACACGCATGCATGAAATGAACAGAAAACCTCTACCCAGAAGCGCTGGCTCACAATCCAGCCATACAGACCTCTGGACCTGGTTACTGTCATTAACTGATAAAACTTAAGACCATTACTCTCAAGAGACGCCAGAAAGGATTCGTGGTTTTATGGTTTTTGTGACCGTGGCAACACGGTCAATAAGTCTAGTACGGCATGATGGGAAACCAGACCACATGCCCCTAAGAGTTGTCTTGAACCTTAAAGTACCGCTTTTTAAATGGATGGTTGGTTGCAGTGCGAGTTTGTTCTTACCTGAATGACTGTTGAAATGTGCAAAGTTGGCAAAGTTTGCGTTGCCTGTGGACTGAGACTGCGGACCTGCAAAAATGTCGCCACCTAGTTCGCTGAGCAGATCGAACTTCCTGTCCTGATACTGTTGCTGGGCCAGCTGAGCGCGCGACACAACCGGAGACTGAGAGGGGGAAAATAAGACCAGAAACTCACATTAAGAAAGTAAAGATGGTCAATATTGATATCATCTTAACCACAAATATAATTTGGGATCGGTAAGGTTTTTAAATAAGTTTCTTAAGCTCACTAAAGCTGCATTTATTTGATCGAAAATACAGAAAAACAGTAATATTGAGAGGTGTTATACATTTTAAAACATTTTAAAATGTTATTTATTCCTATGCTGCAAAGCTGAATTTACATTTTATCATTCATTCTAATATTCAGATTTTATGCTCAAGAAAAATGTATTATTATTATTATTATCATCAATGATGAACACGGTTTTGCTGCTGAATATTGTTTATGGAAACCATGATACTTTCTGTCAGGTTTCTTTAATAAATCGAAAGACATTAAAATATAAATCTTTTATAAAAATATAAAATATAAAAAAATCTTTTATAAAAATATAAAAAATTATTGATTATTTAGTAATCATCAATTTTTGATCAATTTAATACATCCTTGCTGAATAAAAGTATTAGGGATTCGATTACCTGGTTCGAACCAGAGTTCAATTGCCCCCTCCCCTGCCCCCGCTGGGATTGTGTTCACAATCAAATTGGCACGTTTGCATTGTGAAACAGGAGCTGTTTACCCCTCTAACAATGACGCAAGAGAAGGCGGAAAAATGCATAGAGTTGCTCACCTCACTTGTACATTTTGTTTTTTGATTTCAAATGGCACTTGCATTTTTCTATTGTGAATGTTCAAAATAATGCGGGAGTCGCATTTTCGGAGAAAATAAGTCGGGAGACGTGTATTCTGTGGACAGTATTCCATATCCTCTCGGCTTGCAGTGCATCAGACACGCTTATCAGGAAAGTGCGCGAGAACACACACAAACACACAGATTTATCGAATCACACGTCATCAACAGAGTACGACTGCATTCATATCAGCAGTGAATCGTACCAGAGTTCACACGAGCTGAACTCCAGACCCCCTTTTCATGCGGACTTGGTTTGGTAGGCTTGACTTAGGTTTGAGTTTTCCGCACCAGAGTACGGAAAACAACGCTTACATTAAACAAATAAACCAAACTCTGACGGGAACCGAACCTAGATGTGCACCAAACGTGCTAGTGTGAAAGCACTAAACATTGAAAACAAAACATTACATAACAAAAAAACAAAAAACAAAACCCAGTTGCATATATTTCATTGTGTTACCTGGCTGGGTGTGTTTTTGCTGAAGTGTAAACTGGGTACGGATTCCTCCAGTAATGTTTTGAGGGGTCGAACCTCTGGAGTGCTGCTGGTGCTGCTAGCAGACGAGCCAGAGATAGACGCATGAACCGACGCCACAGTCTTAGCCTGCTCTGGAGGAACATACCTGAGAGAAAGAGCACACATACACCATGATGCGTTTATTTGATCTTTATGAAAACAAGAAAAATACCAATCTTATAAACACTGGGAAAATACTAATAATTAACCCATATGACACATCACTTGCAATAAAGTGCAAATCAAGACTCAAATCAAGTGCTGTATTCACATTTTTTATATACAACTTAATTTATTTGGTGTGCAGTCATGAAATAAGTGGGATAATACATTTTGCAGTAATGATGACTGACTGTACATGATACCCCAAACATAATAATAAACATTTCAGCCTGTGCTTTTCCTCACCATCGCTTCTTTTCGTATTTGTCCTGAAGAAACTCTTTGACTTTCTGAGGTTCTCTGAAGTCTGGGATGGCCATGTTTCTGTCGTCATAAAGGCCGAGCCATATCGGTTTACATGCCTGCAAACGCATGAAAAAGGTCATCAGACATTCAAATAACATGTAAGACAGAGATTCATTCATGTCAAAAAACATGAAAAAGGGTTTTTAAAGAAACCTGGTCCCATCAATTCTCAGTTTATTAGTTTATTAGAAGACAGAGAAGCAGAAAGATTCTTCAGGATCTCTTTCTCAATGCCTCACATGTGTGAAAAACAATGCAGGCATTCATACTAAGGAAAGTCTTGCTTTGAATACATGCACTAAATAACAAATATCTTAAGGTGTCATTTAAAAAAACACTTAAATATACTCTCTTAGGAGTCAAATGCACACATACTCAGATATCACAACTGATAAATTAAAAGGCAGAGCGTAAGGCAGCACATGCTATGTGTGTGTGTGTGTGTAAAGGCTTTCACAGCAGTGAAGACACTGCCTCCATTTAGATATAATCAATGCAGACACACATTTGCGTGTGTAAAAACGCACACACACACACACACACCATTAAAAACAGTGCTAGCAGCTTGTTAATTATATAGTAACAGCAGAGTGAAGACACTTTCCCTGCGTCCCAATTCGCTTACTTATACTACGCCCTAAAAGTATGTACTCTTTTTGTGAAGAAAAAGTATATACCTTTGAGTGTGTAGCAAAAGAGTAGGCAAGCTTTGGGACATACTATCACGTCATCTTTAACGGACAGCTCCTCTGTCGCGTGCTGCGTGCATCATATCACCATAAACTGCCCTGTCAATCATCTTAGGCGTTTCTCAATGTCAAGGAAGGATCCTCGGAAGCCGGAATTTCGAGGATGCTACGTCATCGACGTCCGTCGAAGGACTGTTCCAATGTCGAGGATCCTCAGAATTTCAACCAAGGACTGAGTCCTTGGTTCGGAAAATATCCCATACACAGGAAAGGATGCATATGTGTAGCCTTCGCGCTCTTAAATCACCCACAATCCTATGCATGCGCAGCTTTGCTATCTTGTTCAAAAAATAAAAAAAATGTCGACCGTTAGCGGAGTCGGAGTGATAACGGCAATATGCTTTCAAATGTAAGCAAGTATAGTTTAGCCATTTATTTAATGTTTGTTAAACTATTTAACATATCGGCTCAAATTTGCTGAGGGGATTTAAAGCTGTTCCCTTTTACTGGTGATTAACTTTTTAATTTTTACTTCATATAACGTTATAGCCTTTTTTGTTGGTCACATATTTTACCATTGCATGTGTTTTAACAGCTAGCATGCTAGATCATGTTGCTATGGACGCTAGTTCTGTTCACTCGGTAATATAATCGTTTTTGAATGAATAAACTCCTTTTTAAATAAATATTTGTGTCAAATTATTGATTTATTTGGTAGGTAGCCGTTTGGTAGGTACAACGCGTACCCCTTCAGGCTGATTCAATCAAGACCCCTCTGCTTTAGAGTTTGCGGGGTTGTATTCACTATAACAACCGCCTGGTTATACATTATCCCTTATACTTTATTTATTTATTTCTATGAGGACTGACAAGACAAAATAAGGACTGTCAACAAACAGTGCAGTACACCAGCACTATGATTTTTGCAGCGCCGAAGCGGACCTTTCACTTATGTAATGACGCAATGACGTGCACTTGCTAGCCTGTTCCATTTACGTGTTCTCCGAATGCTATTGAGGACCCTTGCCTAGCCTCTGAAGGAAATGACTTGGAAGGACCCGTCCTGCCAAGGAAGTATCCTTGACATTGAGAAACACCTCTTGTCACAGTTAAAATCCTCCATTCAATCTAATTTGATTTCCTACCGTTTCGGGAGCACATTCATCTGCCAATCGTGGGTCTTTAATGCGGATACTTTCCTCGTGTTTTGCTATTTGAATATAATGATGCATTTAAAAAGTAATGGCTAAACGTATCCTTACAAAAGTTCACAATGCTGCTGCAGATGCAATATAATGTGGAGAAAATTTAATTTTGAACATTTAAATTATTTTCGTTAGGTTAGATAGTGATAATTAATCACTCAAACCTCTTTATCTAAACCTCTCAACATAACCGCGGGACTCGCGCGACCTCCGTGTCTGTAGTTTTTTAACACTTTTTACTCGTGTTTGTAGTTCTCTAACCGAATCCTCGTCCAACGCGCAATGGGTTGTGGGCAATATCAGCCCTAAGAGTGTGCATCGATCTCTACACTTCGGATTCTGACCGGAAAAAGTAAACCATCCGGGTATCTTTGAAACACTCATTTCAACATACTACGGTTTGGGACGCACTAATTCTATTTTCGAATTCTATTTAGGACGGATAGTATGCGAATTGGGACGCAGCAATTATCACTTGAGTCTGATGAGAAGCCCTACAGACACTCAAGGAAGTTTTCTATGACCCTAAAAATTTAATGTATTAAAACTTTCAGTGTTTGCATGAACTCGTTGTTCTGGTCCAAGAGAGGCCATGTTGGGCTCATCCATGAGATTAAAGCTAAAACCGACCCAGGAATCAGTGCATCTGCCTTCAACGCTTCAGAAAGGCATACTAACTAAACTGCCCACTTCAAAGTACACATCATTATGTACTTAATACTATCAAAAATAGTGTGCATTTTTGGGAAAAATGTTTACTGTCAGATTAGGAATCACTAAAGCGATAATTACTTTCATGTTTTGGCCAATAATCAATAAATAATGGTCAAACTTCTGACAAAACAAAAAGTAAATAAAGTTTTTTATGCTACAAGGGAATTTAGGCATTGCAATTGTATACAGTGTGAATAATGAAGATTAATTTTGAGACTGACTGAAGATTACTGATTAAATTATTAATATTTTTAAATACCTTTAAGTCAGTGTTAGATGACAGAAAATGTAATCTAAGCGTAAAAATAGAAGAACATGCAACATTAAATATCCAATATCAACCAATATGATATTTACTGTAGACTGGAGTGATGATGCTGAAAATTACATGACTATAAAATAAATTATATTTTAAAATGTATTAAAACAGAAAAAAGTTATTTAAATTATAATATTTCACAATATAACTATTATTTTTTTGTTAGAATTCAACCTTGGTGAACATGAGATACTCAATGTAAATAATAGACACTCTGGAAAAAATATTGTGTTTTTTTAAATCGACCCAAATTAGAGTCTGCCTTTTGCCAAACTCGTTCTTCTCCCTTTTCCCATCACATATCAGATTGGAAAGGCATTTCTTTTCAGTGAAAATGAAGAAAATAATTGAAAAGAGGAAAAAAAGTGTCGTTTAGGAAGGGCATATAGTTCAAATAAGGCGGCATCAATTTAATAATTTTTAATAAATATAACCATTTACACTGTTATTGTGGCTCAACAGTTAGATTTATACATAAACTCATCTTTCAGGCATTTGACCAACTGGGTTGACACTGCAGCGTGAGAAATCGGGGGTGTGGCATGTGAGAGTTGGGAGCTCTGCAGCTCTCTCCCGCGCTCTAGTCGTCTCTCACTGATGTCGCGGCGCTCATACATCATTGTTATTCACGCATGACTCATGTCACGAGCAGTCTCAGTAAACAAAATCATGGTTAACTAATGCAGTAACGCAGACTGTTTACGGGGAAGTAACCGCAATCTAATTACTGTTTTTACAATTGTAATCCCTTACTTTACTCGTTGACGTCGTTACTTGAAAAAAGTAATCAGATTACTTCTAACGCGTTACTGCCCATCACTGATAGCATCTAACAACTATTTGCAGTTATTGCAAAGAACTGCTACCTTTTTAATAGCGTAAATAGGATATATCGCTATTTGCACTAGCCGCTGCCTATTTCTTACTGACCCCCAAATTTTGAAAGGTAGAGTTTCTTGCGTTGTTCAAAAAACGTAGTGTGCGCACTCAAATGCATCGGTCACTCAGTAAGCTAGACAAATTACTGAAGATCTGCCAACTTCAACTTTGCGTGACATGCCCCCATCATCGAAAACCAAATTAGAAGTACAGACTGACAGATGCAGTGAGACACCAAACCCGCTGTCCGATCGCACTGGTTCGCATTATTGGACCCACATAAAACAACTTCATGAAACAAAAGTGTGCACACGCATGCACAGATCATCCTGAAGTTCATCATGGTTTAAGTGGCAGATTAAAGCGTGTGCGTAATAAAACACAGAGCGCTCAAATAAGAGTCTCCTCGGCACGCAACATCATTTCCAGCTCATCCTCGTTAATCAGGCCTCACGAGACCTGGGAAAAATCCCAGGAATGTAGAGAAAAGGAAGGGGGAGATGAAAAGTTGTCAAATCATTGTGGTTCAGAAGAAGCTCTTAGAGAAACACACACACACACACACACACATATTTACAGGGCTACTCTATTTTTAGAACAACTGACTCAATTTTATTGATGTAAGGGCGTTGCCAAGAAAAGAAATTCCAGAAATTTCCACTATTTATCCTATCATTAACATTCGACTGTGACCTCGTAAATGCTCAACTCAGTGGAGTCCAGATATCAGCACAAACAGTCCACAGAGATGACGACACAATCACTGTGTCACTGCACTTTGACTATGCCGTCATCAATTACCTCATTTCCATGCTTCTGTAGAAATTCAATTTCCTGTAGCGTGAAAGTCGTCATGGAAATAGACTTCACTCTGTGGGGGGGATTCAGGCCTCGTCTAAAAAGGAGAGGAAAAAAGGGTAACAGGTTAATTAAAGGATAGTGTTGCAAATCTCTTGTAGTGTGAATTAGATTTTCTGCTCCCTCTCACTGTAACTCTTCATTACAAACCTGCATATTACACACAGATCTAGGACAAGGACAAATTCAGACTGCTCGGCACCTCGCCAAGTCCGTGCGGAGAGAACGGGTGTATGAGGGGGTGGAAGAGACTGATAGTGTAGAGAGAGTGGTGAGCTAATGCTGCCTTCAAATCACATCGTGATGAGCGCATTGGGGGCTTTCACACTGGCAGTTTCGTTCGGAACGGGGTACGGTTCGCATGAAAATTCGCTAACATGGTCATGCAGACCCTGGTTCGCACTGGGGTAACGTTACCGAACCCGAGCCTACCTGGAGGAGCGCTCTGAGTTCAGTTGCACTCGAATGAGCCTGCAGTGTATTTGTGCATATCGCGTGGAAGCAGGGCTCCAAATTAATGAGAATCCACAGTCTACTCAAAAGAGTCCATTTGCAAGCAGCAGAAAGCCCCCTTATGTGACACATACACAGTCAGCTGTGCATAACAGCACAAAATGAATAAAAAACACAATATATTGAGCCGCGTTTGGTTTCCCATCATGCAGAATCACGCTCGGAACGCAGCAAACGAGCCCAGTGCGAAAGCACCCTATGAGCGGACGTAAACGGGAAACTCTAGGAAACTCTAAATTATCTTTGAATTTAGACTTTGAGTTGGCAGAGTGTTGATTAAAAAAAAAAAATTGATGGAAACTAATCGACATGGGTTATAATTAAGTTTAAGTTTTTTGTGTACAACTACAATGCATATTTAGCCATTTAATGAGGCGAAGGCTTTCCCATCATACTTTGTAGCTTGTTAATGAAACCGAAATTTGTGTAAATATTTCATAAAATCTTTATTTTGTACACTGTCCCACTGTAATTCAACGTTGAAAACAACAACAGTTGTGAAAGCTTTCACAGTTTTGTGAAAACTAGGGATGCATTATATATCGTCCGGGATATCGTTGTCATATTATATATGTTCATTTCAGCTGAGAAACTTCAGATCCCATGATGGTTTTGAATTGCTAGAAATATAATCGGAATCACTTCCAAAAGGAAAATACAGTTATTTGCAATGTGCAGCGCAAATCTGTCATTAAGGCTACATAATAATATAATGCGAACACTATTGTAAAAGAATGTTGTGAATATGTGCGCCCATGTGTTGCTATGGGAAGAGCGCATCCACAACAGTTACACCTTCAATCATGACTAGCATAGTCACGTTCGTATGTGGATTCGAATAAAATGTCATGATATCTTTCGATTTAATTGTTATTAATTGATGTTATAGGAAGAGCGCATCCACAACAGGAGTTACACATTCTGACTAGCACAAATTAAGTTTGCTTGTGCTTTCGCAGCCTTTTATGCAATTGTAAGTTGCAACATTATGTTTATTTTGTGTGTGTGTAAATATAAATTAACTTAACCAAACGCATCCTAAATGAGATGTAATATACACATACACACTTAATGTATCTCATTTAGGATGTGTTTGGTTAAGTTAATCAACTTCAAATGTCAATTTTCTTTCCAAATAAAGAAGTTCAAGATCACGAGGAACTGAAGACAACTGGATGACCACGTGATGATTCAATGCATCTTTGAATCAGTCTGTGCATGTGTGTTTATTCCACAGCGTCATGATGATCTTTGAACACTTGATCTCTGAATGCCCAAGAGCAATGTAAACATGTGTAAGGGCTGCCCATTAGAAAGCCCGTTTCCTTCCTGTATTTACCCTGTTATCGTTCTCAGATTCGCTCTCTAGGGATAAGTGTGTGTCTACTGGAGGACATGCTGCCTCTGATTCTCTTGCGCATCCGTTTTGTTATTTCCACCCCCTGATCTCATCCTTTCTCTTTCATCTAATGATGCCATTTGCAGATAATAACCAACAGGAAGTTCACTTAGGTAGTTAAAGGTGCTCTAAGCGATGTCACACGTTTATTAGGCTGAAACATTTTTTTGTCACATACAGCAAACGTCTCCTCACTGCTCACATCTTCTAGCTGCCCGTCCCCTGAACACACTGTAAAATAAAACCTGGCCCCTGTAGACACCCCAGGCTCCACAAACGGCAACAAAAACAAACTGGTTCAACCCGCACCACGAAACAAAGTGTTCCAGCCAATAACCGACAAGAATGATTAAGGGGTGGGGGTTAGTGCGCGTGCACTGGAAGGGAGTATAAAATGATTGCACATTCACTGTATAAAATTCACTGGAGGAAAAAGTTCACGTGCCCGTCGTCAGATTTGGAAGTCGCTCAAAAGGCTCTTTTGCGTTTGTGGCTTCAGTCGACTTCAGTGAGGCGCGGTGGTTTATGGGATGAGTCGTTCCTTCACTCGGAAATGAAAATATGTACACAGGCTTGTACCCTTGATTTTTTTTTGGATTTTTTCTTTGTTTTTTCACTCGAAATGATATGTTGTATATGCTTATGAGTTCAGCCGTAGCTGATTATCCTCAAACACGCTCTAAAACTCTTCAGATACGGATTTTCCAAAACGTCAATGGGAGAAATGAATGGGAAATTTACTCAAATCTCTCTCGGGCTGTGGGCTGGACTATGATGCTCTATACTTCGAACGTCAACAAGAAGTGATGTCCCCCAACATCGCTTAGAGCACCTTTAAATGAAACAGTTCACCCAATACTGAGAAGTAATTTACTAAACCTCATGATTTCCTCTCTTTCGTGAAACACACTAATTTTTGGGTTGACTATTTCTCTAAGAAACACTCACATGCACCTGTTTCTATGCCAGTGGAATGGGAAAGAGCGTTTAGTATGTGCAAGTATGGAAAAGACATTTAAAGCTACTCCGCCGTCCCTCTGTGCTGAAACGGGTGACAGTTCATCTGACACCTGAGCTGCAACAGATGTTCAAAACACCATTCACACAAACGCAGCCCCTCGAAACCCCCATAAGGCAAATCCAAACACGCCAACACAGCACTTCTGCTCTAACAATCGCCGGTTGTTTCAAGTGTGAATGCAAGTGCGCTGGTAAATTCCCTTCAAAAAAATTCCCAATTCTGGGAGTGGGGACGTCACCTGTAACTTCCTCTATTATATATGTGTATCCTTCCTCTTATGGTGACATGAGGCATTTAGAGATAAATTCTGAAGGGCATGAACAGAAAGGCCTTGGTAAGATTAGACCAGGTGCTAAATTATTCACACGATCTGCTGCGGGCCATTGGCACGGGGTTGGGGTTCTGTAACCGTGTCCACCAAGAACCATTCGGCTTCAACAAACATCCAACTGTCTCCAATCATCGCACCAGTAATAATTCTCCAGCAGCCTCATAGTATAACCTTTGAATTTATGCAAATGTACTATGAATAGGTATTATTTCCATTAGTTAGACGGATGTGGTAGAGCTCCTAAAAGGACAACAGCTACATAAAAGTGATCTATACTATATCTTTTTCACTGTATTTCAAGTCTTCTGAAATCATACACTATTGTGCGTGAAACATGAACAATGGTTCTCAACCTTTTTGACTTCAAAATAACATTTAAAGACCCCCCCCCCATTTATAAAAAATGCAGTTGTTAAGGGAACAAATTAAAATATGAAGTATGATTTTAGCTTACATCTAAGCCACTTTTACACAGAGATTCCGTAAAATACACGGATAATGTGACCCAGCATTTGTCCCGGGATTGTTTGATTTCGATTCATTCACACTGCCAGTGATTTGCCGAGATCTGTGAGTGCGTTCGCACACAACCCGTAAAGATCCCGGAAAGACACATGACGTCAGGATGAGACGTGTAACGTACGCGTTGAAAACATATACACGCGCATACCGTTCCACAAAGCTGGTGAACGATCTCAGCTTCAGCACGGATAGTAAGGTCTCTGGTCTCTGCTTCGTTCCAATTTGCAGATTTGTTCGTCCTTTCTTTGTTGATGACGAACACAAACTTTCTTCTAAAAGCAACATAGTCGCGCGCTGGCACGAGCGTCATCACTATGACACACCCCTTACGGCATTGGTCCTCGCTGTTGTTCACACAGCGCGCGTTCCGGGACTGATTCCTGCAATGTTACTACATCGATGCCGGTATCAATCCCGGGTCGTGTTTGCGTTCACACAGAAGGCGTTCTGGCAATTTCCCGGGATCAACGCCCTGTGTGAAAGGGGCTTTATATTCATCAGATTATTATCATGTCGTATTCGTACAATGTGTACGTTAAGTAAAAGGGGATGTAGTGCATGTGAATTTTTTGATGAAATAAATTTGCTTTGTTGTTTTTTTCAAACAAATGTATTGTAATATAGCCTATATATTTTACAAAAGTGGGTCGCGACTTGATGACCATGGGAAAATGTGGGTGCCAAGGCCAAACCACTTGAGAACCCTTGCCTAATGGGCCCTGGGCCCCCTGATTGTGTAGCTCTCAAAACAAGGGTACGCTCAGCCCATTTTGTGTTCTATAGAAGAAAATGCTTTGCTGGTCATGGTCACAAGCTAAAATTGGCCAGTACACACAGAATACAAACAGAGAATCAAAACATATGCCTTATATTTAAAATGCTCATATTTTATATTCACACCATTGTTAAAGTTGGCATGAAGTCTTTATAAACGGTAGTCTTTTCTTCCATATTGTGAGATATGTCCGAGTGAAACAGCTTCTTGAACAAGAAAGAAAAAAAATAAAAAATGTAGGGCCGGGCCTTCATTTTGTCCATCGGGCATTGATTGGATCATCATGGTGTGCTACTGGTGTGAGTGACAGGTTGCCCTCGCGCCAGTAAACACGTCATCAGAGATCAGAAGTCAGTGGAAGAGAGGAAGTGATTTTGATTCAAGATTACGACAGAGTAACATCCCTTGAACTTGCTGCACTGAAATGGGATCAACCTCAAAGTGAGCGAACAGTCTCTGGTTATTCAGCCTGCATT